CACACACACACACACACACACACACACACGCATATACACACTACAACAATATATGATCTTCCATTTTTGAGGAAAGAAAAACAAATAATTCGAAGCTAGTATCAAAGTTCAATTAAATAATTTGTACATTTAGTTATGTTAATGACCTTACGTTAATTTAGTTACGTAATGACCTGAAACGCACGGTGATTATCAGTGAATCATGACATGTTAATCACATCGAGAGCAATGTAGAAATTACTACGAATTCCTAAAACAAATTTATTTATTTCGGGAAACACAGTCTTGCAAATCGATCGATTAAAAATTAATTAACCGCGAAGGGTAACTAAACGTAACATAAGAATCAAGATATCTGTATAAATCAGACGCAAGGTATCAAATAAGATCGCGAATCAAGTATAAAGAAGTAATGAGCTTACAAATTGTTTATATTATAATTATATATAATAAATAATATTCATATATGTTTTTTATCATGTCCCCTCAGCAAAAAAGTTAATATCTTAAGAATTAATGTGTTATTTGCGCACGTCGCGTTTTTTTCAAAGTCAGATACAAAAAACATTACTGCTCTTTGAACAGAATAAATAGCTGATGCATCCAGCTGTCTTCTGAATCTGAAAGACATATCCCGATGCAATTTCGATTAATTATTACGATTATTTACGAGAATAATCACGGGAAGAAATAAAATGGACAAATAGACAGAAAACGTGAGCCAAAATGTCGCTTCAAAATGTATAAATTTGGCTTTTATGATATAATAATATAATAGTTCATTTAACTCGAATATAACAATCGGATACCATAATCGCGCACAACTTTCTGTTCCTTCAGGAATAAAATAAATAATCAAATGTCAAGAGGTACGATAGTGCCTCGCGCCAAGTTAATAATGTACATCGAACATGACGAGCATGACATAAATTGCGATAAATGTAATCGCCGTAAATATAACTGTCAGGATAATATATAGCACAGTATAAAAAATGAATAAAAAATAAAAAATAAAAAAGAACGAATAAAAAATTAATTTAAAATAAACTTGGATTTAAATTTGCATTTTTATCTATTATTTTCCACGGTAGAAAAGTTCTTTCATGAGAGGATTTATCATTTTTATATTTTTCACGATACGATAGTTTTTTACAATAAATTTTTTGTGTCATAAAAAGAAATATGCACTTGTATTATACACAAGGACACACTGAGAGAAAGATTTCTGTCGCAATGACAGAGAAACATTTGCGCATTGTTTGATAATTGTACGAGAAACAAATCATTTTCGTTATTTATAATTTCAACAAATATATATCGCTGGAGATGCAACATATTTGCTCCCATTACTAAATTATTGGTTAGAGCAACACATAATAAGTAACAAATCATTTGTTACCACAATGGAATCGTTTGCTGTCCCTTATTAATAAATCATTTGTTGCGGTTACTGTGTTTTATTAACCCAACAAAACTTTTCTTTTCTCGGTGCATGTTAAAATCTTATAAAACGTACGCAAGTCAATAATTCAGCTGGGTGTGAATCGACAGGATTACAAGTTCGATTCTATTCAACAAGAACCTTAACGAAATTACAAATTAAATATCGATGTGATTAGCGTTTCGATAAATATTTATTTGGATTTTGCTCCGAATTAAAAATATACATCGAACATGACGAGCATGACATAAATTGCGATAAATGTAATCGCCGTAAATATAACTATCAGGATAATATATAGCACAGTATAAAAAATTAATAAAAAATAAAAAATAAAAAAGAAAGAATAAAAAATTAATTTAAAATAAACTTGGATTTAAATTTGCATTTTTATCTATTATTTTCCACGGTAGAAAAGTTCTTTCATGAGAGGATTTATCATTTTTATGTTTTTCACGATACGATAGTAAAATCTCGGAAGAGATCCTCTAGATCTTAAAGGAAATATGTACTATTTTATCGACTAGATTTCTCGTGCGAATTTATCGACTGTAGAAAGACCCGACCGTCGAGAAACTGGATTTATTATTCGAGATCGAATGAGTAATTTTCAAGCGATCGATCGATACGCGACATATTACCTATTCTGTAATGCTCTTGTTTATATAAAAAATTATAATTTGTCATTATATAGCAAAAGCGCTACAGCTTTTACAAAATTTAGCATTACTGGAAAAAGAAAAACGACAGAAATACGACCGTCTGTGCTTCACGTGAGATATCAAGTGAGCTAACGATTCACCAAAGATATGTAAATTCACAAGTTCATAAGTTCATATGGCTGGCGGTATATTTAACGTAGTTGAAAAGCAAATGAACATGTTATATTTGCAGAATTAAACCGCGCGTTAATGCATCACAAGTTAATGAATCCCGAAGGATACAGCGGCGGACAGATCAAACGAATGCTTTGGAAATTAACGTCGCGTCGTATACGTTTTTCGTATGAGACGGGAGCGGTGGTATGTTTTCACAAGAAAAATAAAATCATTCGTTGGCGACGAATAAATTCCGATGAGTCTCGGTTTTGACGATCCTTCGCGAATTGCCCGGCAAATTGATCGAAACACAATCACATCTGCGAACAACCTTCTCCGGCTTGAGCCGTGTAATCTTACGATATTAAAAAGCCAATGAAAAAAGAAGAGACAAAAGGAAAAGAAGGACGAAAAACACATGTCGAGAGTGCGTCATACGACCATTTATGAGAATATGTTCTGAGACCAGTTCTTTATCCTTCAAATCGTGCCTATCTATTTTTTACAGACTGAAGGGCACCGGTTCCGGTTCAACGATCCTTCGCGGATTCATCTGTAATTTCGTGTGACACACAGTGGTATTGTGTCCGACGACATTTGTCGAGCCGCTCTTTCTTCGCGCTTCTTTCTTTCATCCTTTCTGCCTTTCTTTTTTGTCTCCTTTGTCTGCTTGCTCATCGGTACGCACACTCATTATGGATGTGTTTAGAAATTTCGGAAACGTTATGTTTCGTTAGTGCTATTTTTAGCATTAAATAATCTAGATAAACTTGAAATGTTTACGAAGCTATATAGTAGCTCTGGCAAACGTTGTTACGACATTGCTAAAAATGTAATCTCACTCCGTATGCTCCGTATCAACACTATTTTTAACAAGACAATTATCAATGTTAGCGTTTGTGAGCACCAAGAATGTTCAGAACGTTGTAAATTGCACGTTCACTACACATTATTGCCAAACAATATCGGTACGATGTATTTATTATTTTGCTATTATTTATATATGTAATGGACAATTGCGCTTAAATAAGTCTTCAGAACGTTAAAACTGAAGAAATGTTTAAACTGCGGAAACACGTTATAATTCAGCAATGCTAATATTACGCTATTGTTGTTCGTAGATATTGTTATTATCGCACTATTAGTTCCATAAGTAATTTTAGTCGATAACGCTGATAGCACTTTCGGTGATCCGTTTACTTCGCTATACACACAAAGATTGAAGATCGCGCACTGCAATTTCGCACGACGTTGACAATCGCGTCGCGCTCGTTGTATTCTCTCGTATCTTCTTGTTTGTTGCGTTCGATCGCACGACCCAGTTCGACCGGCGTCATCCTTTCACCGGTTGCCGGAGAAATATTACGGTTTTACCTACATTTTCCCCGAATGTATCCGCGAGAATATCGCAAACCTCCGTAATGCTTCCACTTTCCAAAGAGGGGGAGGATCGCAAGCTGCGAATTATATCCGCCTTAACATTCCATAATTTAAACACCTGAAAAGGAGGACACAAGCAAAAATATAAGTAAATGAGTGGAGATACCGAAAGCAGCGTAAAAGGAAAGGTAAAAAGAGGAAAAGCGCGCAGTGGTGGCACCGAGCGCTTGCCACACACATTCGGGGGGCGAGCGAGTCCATTGAATTGCTACGTGCATTTTCCGCGCTCGACGCGGTGTTTCCTTACCCGATCAAACGACTTTCTACGGGAAAGATTAGTAACGGTACAATATTCACCGACGGTTCGCGTGATGGATTGCGGTGTGACTTTTGCGCAACGACGAGCATGTGCAATAACGAAATTGCTCGACCGACGAAAACCTCGCGTAATATCCTCGAGAATCGTCCATTATCTTCGCAGCAAACGTATCCCGCACGTTGTATCCCGCGTTGTATCACGCAATGAAAAATTCTAGTCGACCCCGAGTCGACTAGAGAAAATTACAGGAGACGTTTCGCGGAGTTTGTGAAAGAGGAAAGAAGGGCGTAGCGCGACGTCGCGCATTTGAGCAAAATTCCAATGTAATTATCTGACTGATAAAATAAAATTCGAAATTTTCACCGCTGTCTGATAACAATATTGAAATTTCATGATCGATAAAACAAAGAAAATTTAATTGCCGATTGGTAAAGAATTCGAAATTTTGATTATCGAAATCGAAAAGACTTGCTCTCGACAACGAAATCTCACGAAAGCTCATATTTAAAATTGCGAATAGTTGATAAGAAAATTTCAATAAAAATTTCCAAGTATCGGCAATTCCAGACGACTTTGAAGACACGTACGCGAACGAACTCGCCGCAAGTGCGCTGCTGTGAATTTGCCGTTATCGCGTGCAGTATGATTACGGGTCACGCATCGCGGCGGCGGAGTTTCACCGGCGAGGATAAATCCGAGATCCGTTCGTCCGTTTTAGTCGCGCTTTCTTCGACTCTCCTCGACACATTGTTCTTTCTGCGACAAGTGACGCGTTCCTCCCCTTTCGTTCCGAATTATCTGACATACGTATACACGACGTACGCATTGTCGGTACGCGTTTCACGCTCTTTCGTTTCGCGGTGCGAATTTTTCTCATTGCATTCTCGCGACGCAGACTGCCGATGAAAAATTCGAATTGATACGAGGAAACGCGGGAAAAGCGAACGGCGCTGCGGACGATCCCTCGCTCGTTTCGTCGTTCGCAGCGTCCTGTACATCCTGTAGATCCTGGGTGGCTCGTACTGTAGCCAAAGCTTCATGAACCGACACTTCCACGGTGCTCGGTAATTCGACTGCACTAGAAGCCGCGGCACAGTCAACGTTCGTCTAGCATCTAGTGTACAACGTGATCGAGAGAGACGATCCTACGTGGTCTCTTTGGTCGTTGGTGAATCGCGATTTTTCCGTTCTTGCGGATCCACCGAATCTCCGAGAAACAATATCGGTCACCGGAACAGCTTATCCGCCCTTATTCACTTGTATCGTGCACAGGTAATCGCACGTCGAGCGATGCGTCGCGATCGCTCGTCATTACAATTTATTTATTTAATTTTATGCACTTGGGTAACGGGAAAATCTCTTTTGTATAGAAGTAATAGAAAGCTCATGTAAAAGCCTTTCAAAGACGTCTAAAAGTAAGTCAGACAAATATACATAAACGAGACCAAAGAGCAAAACGAGATAAAAATTATAAGGCAGATGTAACGAAGCATTTAAGAGAAGTAGCGGATCTCGGGAAAAATCACGAGAATATAACCCCTGACAAGAATACAACGCGTAACAAAGACAAACCAGTATGCGTAATACGCGTCTTCTATGTCATCCCGTGAATATTAATATAACTCGCTTTATTATCTAAAAAAAAGAAAGGGAAAAAGGAATAAGCACGGCAAAGTTGTAGAACTGGAAATGGCGAATAAGCGCACCGAGGTGAAAGAATACGCTGTGCTTCTTCCTTTTCATCGGACGCATGAGTTACAGACATTTAATTCGATCTCACGTTGATAAGAGCACACTTAGTATAGATGCACTCGCGGATCAGCGAAAGATTCGGATGAGCGGCAACTTTCCATCTAGTTGGGTCGTACTTTCACCTAGCGACCAGCGTGCCGTTGTTGATTTTGTCGGAGGCGGTTTGCCATCAATTTGATAGTTTGCATACATTTCCATCGGAGATAAGACCGCAGCGGCGAGACGCACCATGTGATTAAAGCAAAGGTGCTTCGTAAATTCGTAGTCTTTCGCGTAACATAAGGGAGCATAATACATCTGGAAATACAAAAAAAAACGATACATATTAGAGATGTGCGAACTATTCGAATTCGAATTCGAATCCCTATGTTTCGAGTCCGAATAATTCGAATATAATTCGAATCAAATATATTATCGTTTACCGATAAAAATTCAGCTACAAAACGGGCCATCTGGACCTGTATGAAATCTTAACTTATAATTAACTTAACTTATAATTAATAACTTAATTATAAATTACTTTAAATATTTAAATATATATTTTACTTTAAGATGATATTACAATATCAGTATTCCCTTTTATATTAAAATCTTCCATCATTATTTATATGTTTAATAGTCATGTTAAATCTTTTAATGATTCGATTCGATTCGATTGGACACAGAATATCGAACTATTTGGGTCGAAATGTCGACTTTTCGGTTCTTCAACCCTTCATTTAATTATTGAATTATTCGTTGGATAATATTCTATTTTCAATCATCGGAAGAATATTGCGTCACAAGATCCGAGCGAGTGATTATGATGTACGTCAAACGATAACCAATTTAAATATTAATACAAAACTCGCCGATCAACCGTCGAGAGATGTCAGAAGCATAATGTTGATTCGACGTTGATTCGACGTAGATTCGACGTTGAAATAGTCGATGAACCGTTGAATCAACGTTAATTCAACCCTCATCGAATCAACGTTATGGTTCTGACTGAGGCAGAAATAGAGCAGTGAGCAAACTCGTGCGTAGTAACATTGATTAATATCTATGTAAATCTTTTTTTTCAGTTCTTACAAGTTGCTCAGTCGCGTATTATAAGTCTATCAGATCGCTGCATTTTTAAGATATTCTACATTTACTACATTTACTGTCGGAACCACGGTGATCGACAGTGCTTCGTCTAACGTTTATCTCGCTCGACGACATCTCGCAGGATGAACCTCAAGGAAGGCGCGCATGTGATTTACGATACACTATTGTTCATCGGGATGGCGGTGATTTATCTCATGGAGGCGTTGCTGTTCAAGCTGATTCCTCGCCGGTATCGCGCTAAATCGATCGCCGGCGAGGTTGCTCTCGTCACGGGCGGCGCAGGAGGAATCGGCCGGTTGATCGCGATCAAACTCGCGAATCTCGGCGCGCACGTGGTCATTTGGGACATCGACAAACAGGGTGAGTATTTGCCGCCATTCGTTCGCAGTTGCGAAAGCGCGGTGTCGAAAGCGTTGTTATTGCGTTGCGAAATTGACCTTGAGTCGCGATATCTCTCGAGAAAATTGTAGAAAGGGGCGAGGATGCAATTCTCGACGAAAAGTTGTGTGGATCGGAAAGTAAAAATCAAAATGAAGCCAAATTAATCGAACGAAATCAAAATTAAAAACAAACTTTAGCATCAAGAGAATTAGATCGAACGACGAAAGACCGAAAAGAAATCAAGTTCCGCCAGGTGAAAGCAATATCGCTTTTGTAACGCGCAGAGGAAAATGGCGTCGAAATGTTTCTACGACGTCTTACGTGATTTTTATGGTTTCTATTGTGCGTTCAGTCATAAATACTTTTCACACCTACACTACTATACTCGTCTCTAAGCGAAGCGAACATGCACGCGCATTTCAAGCACGTTTTCACGCATAGACATTATTTATACATTTCTTTCTTTCTTCCTCTTTCTTTTCTTTTCTTCCTTTTTTTCTTATTTTACTTTTTATCGCTATTTATTGTATGAGAATCTTCTTACTCGTTATTGTCTCAACTATGCTGCTAACCCGAGGGTTATTTTGACGCGTTTAAACGCGTCAAGTGATATCGAAATGCATCAAATGACGTGATTTCAAACGACAATAAACGCGTGAAGAAAGCTTCAGCTTATACGTGTCAAAAGAACACACTCGGGTTTGCAGTGTACTGTACACCAAAGAGGTTAGACTCGTATATTATTAATAAATAAATAAATTTTCTCACTATCGTCACTATCGTCGATTTATTTAATGGCATCGTTGCTCCAATCGCACCCGAGCGTTTAATGACTCTTCTGCATAAATGATCTGCATAACTGGTCTGCACAAACACGACGATTACGACCGGCTCGACGCTCGCTCACGTATTCAGCCGATAGATTTGCGCTGCTAAAGTTAATTTCTTTGTAAATTAAAACACGCGAACAACACGAACGGCTACACTGACGCAAACAAAACACACTCATACAGGTCTCTTGGAAGTCGCCGAGAAAATCAGAGAGGCCGGTGGAACGTGTCACACGTATAGCTGCGATATCGCCGATAAAAAGGAGGTGTATCGCACCGCGAAAGCGACGAAGATCGAAGTCGGAAGTGTGAGTAACGAGAGCAAACGGGTCCAAGTCGAGCCGTTATAATTTCACGTTTAAAGCGTGGCGTTACCTGCAAATGATAGAATAAAATTTATCAGCGCAATGATTGATCGTCCAACAGGTGAGTCTGCTGGTGAATAATGCTGGATACGTGTGCGGCAAGACGCTGGTGGAATTGCCCGATCACGAGATCGAGCGCACTTTTAGCGTGAACATTTTGTCGCATTACTGGGTGAGTATGTCGATATTGATTACTTATGCAATACGCGAGCCTTAAAGATATTTGAAGAAGCAGGACGTCCAAAAACTTCGAAAGAAACTTAGAAACGAGATAAGCATGTTGCGCAAAATAAGCATAATGATTTAGATGTAGAAATTAACCATGAGTGAAATGAAGCGCGTTGAACTTTAAACTCCTTTTTATAAGTTGATTTTCGATTTTTCGACACGTCACACGTCACTACAGATTACAAAGTCGTTTCTGAGAAACATGATGAAGAATAATCACGGTCACATCGTGACGATAGCAAGCGCCGCTGGCCTCGTGGGAAATTACAATTGCACGGATTACTCCGCGACGAAATTCGCCGCCGTTGGATACCACGAGAGCCTCTTCGCCGAGTTGAAAGTACGCATATTCGATACAAATATTCACGTTAAAACTTAGAGTAGTCCTGATAGAGTAGTTATTTAATTTATTAATACTTAATTAAACTCATGTATTGATCGAGCCTCGTTTTATTTGCTGTTAAAAGCGCATTATCATTAATTGTGTTTGACGTGTTTTTAAGGTACACGGCTACGATAATATTCGAATGACATTGGTTTGTCCTTATCTCATTAATACGGGAATGTTCGACGGAGTAAAAAGCAGGTCAGTGAGACTATTGTGTACCCGATGAATGTCGGAGAAAAATGAGATAAAAATCATATTCAGTTTATGCATTATATATATATATATATATGTATAATACTAAACGTCTTGTGGATGATAAACAAATGACTTACAAAAAACAACTTACAAAACAGGTTATTGCCGACCCTTGAACCAGAATACGTTGCGGAAGAAGTGGTTGCTGGTGTATTAACAAACGAAATGCTGATAGTGTTACCTAACATCATGATGTATTTCTTGCTATTTAAATGGTAAGTTCAACAAGTAGCAGACATGTTACCTGCGAAAGTTTAACATAAAACTTTGTTGCGTATCAGGCTAGTGCCACCGAAAATGTGCTGGGCGATTATATATCACGTCTTCAAAGAGCCACAAGCTATGATGATGTTCAAAGGTCGTGAATCAAGGAAGATGAATATTGCTGATAATAGTACAACTAATAATAAGGATATATGTACGCAATAAAGTTATATGAAGCACAAATATGATGTTATAAAAGTCTTTATCCGCAAAAAAGCAGATTTAAAAAGTTATAATTAAATTGTATATATAAAACTTTTAATACAAATAATTTCCCCATCTAAAGTTTCAACTAGATGGTTAAAAACTAGAGGTTAAAAATTGACGGTCCACATTTTTTGTTTAATTTAATATAACTTTTCAAGAAACAAAGGAAAAATTATGAAATAAATATACCTAAAAAATAAAGATTTCAAGCTGCAAAATGTTGTTCGATTCTTTCCGACAAAATTACTTTTACCGGAATTATAGTCTATCGAATTCCGTATATTTTTCAGCATAACTAAATGAACTGCAATGAGTCATATTATGACTTCAATTTCTCATTCAGAAAAGTAGCGACTTGTAGCGGAGATTTTGGAACTAACAACTTGTAAAAGCAAGAAATAACGGGTCTAAGAATTCTATAATCTAAACCCCTTATTGGCTTGCCAAATATAACGGGTCAATATTTTTGGACCCCTTAAACAAACTAATGTGGTTTGAGTCTCAGCTTAATTTTATGGAAGTCGATAAATTATGGTTCGAATCTTAACTAAAGTTTGAATTTTCTAATCGGCTATAATCCAATTTTTTATCCAAGACTCGAATCATAATTTATCGACTTCCATAAAATTAAGCTGAGATTCAAACCACTTATCATCACCTCTATATTCATATCATGTTTTATAAGAAAAAAAACGTTTATAAACATTTTTGAAAACTAGAAACTAGTAACTGTAAAACATTTTTGAATAAGTTGACTAACGTTTTTAAGTTAACTAAAGTTTTTGAATAAGTTGGTAATTTTTGCAAAAGTTATTATTGAGTTTTGCATATGCCGATTATATTATTTTTCATAATTAAAAGAAACAATATTATAATTTTTACATACACAACATGAAATCTTTTGGACAGTATAATGCAAATTTTACAAATAAGTTATCTCGCATTTATGTATATATATTTATACATGTAAGTTAAAAGAAGAAACTTGTTTATACAAATTGAGAAAACTTGATAAAAGGAACATGTTTTTAATTCACAGTAAGTCATAAAAATAATTCAATCCTTGACCTAGTTCCCAAATAGAGATCCCTGTACCTAATTCATTCGCAAGATCTAATCGATGTTTAATTGAATATAAGGTGGGGTAGAAAACATAACCACTGCTCATGGTTAGCCTGAAAAAATAAAACAAATCATATTTAACATACTAGCTATAAATATGAGCATATGTAGACATATGTACATATGTAACGGAAATAATAATAGACAAAACAAATGATCTCACTTAGATTCAAAGAAATGTTCTTTGCTTTTGTCATCCCACTGAATCTTTCCTTTGAATGACCTGAGTATTTCCAAATAATCAGATGCAAGAATTGTTCTGCCACCATCCGGTGTATAATTGTAACCATAGAAATTGATACCCAATAAAATTTGAGCTCGTTTAGGGTCGTTTTTCTTTGGAACTAATAACTCTACACATTGTCTAGCCCATTCAATAGGGCTATTTGGTCCTGGTCTTTGAATACTTGAATAATCATAAGTCATAAGTGAAAATGCTTTTACATATGGTGCTAGTTCATCAAACTGTTGCTTTGAAAATAATTCAACTTGTGAACTGAAAGATTAAAAAATATATTAAAATAAAGTTTATATATAATATACATATTTCAAAGAGTAATAAATAAGCTACCCTCTAGATGGTGGTACAGCTAATATAATATCTATATTATTTTTCTTCAGCTTATGTGCAATGGATGTGACTATTGAAGTAACAACTGGCAAATTTGCGCCTGCAAATATAAACTGATTCCATATCTCTAAGACATATCCATCAAAATGGAAGGTCTGTGAATATCAAATTTATATATAGAATTTTAATAAAATGCACAATATTTATAAAAAAGTAAACAATTTAAATTATACCTGAGCAGCATCCAAGAGAGTCACTATTAAATGAGTTTGGCTCTCTGCATTATTGTATAATTGAATAATATCATCAGCAGACCAATGTTCAAATAATACTCTAGGTATAACTGAAAACAGAAATATCATTATGTATCTATGATTGTATTTAAATTATCTGCAACTCACATTTAACACTATGATTAGCATTATTATTGGATCTCATTTCTTTTAACCACTTGGTCTGAACAGCATCAGTAGACAATTGATAAGTTGATGTATTGCTAGAAGCAAGCGACAACCATACTGGTGATACCATGGTAAACTTCTCATGGAATATTTTTGCGATTTCTAATCCATAGCCATTCCACTGAAAAAATCCAGATTATATTTAACATAAATATATATATCTTTGATCCTACTTTATTTATGATTCCAGACAACTAAATAATATTGCTAACAGGTGTAACATATCCCAGAACATCTGCCTTAAATCTTCTATGTTTTGTATTTCGAAAATATTGCCCAGATTCATGAAGTATATCCTGCTGCTTAGGATTCTCTACTACCAAATTTCTTTGAAAAACATCTCGGTCTATAGGACCTTTATGCAACTGAAAAAATATCTACAGTTGTAATAAAAAAATTATATATAAATATTATATATTATTTAATTAATATACATATATCTATTTACATGTGTAATACATTCTTTATGATCCTTACCTTACTATTAATTTTCCCCTTGTCTTTCTTACACTTTAGTGTGGGTGGTGATATAGTACCAATGCATAATTCAACCAAACATAATATCCCAATTACAGTAATCACATTCATAATAATTATAGAAATTACCGCGATTATTGGATATATGAAGCTATATTTGAAATGTTCCGGATTTTTTATCTTGGTTCCATATAGGACTGATAATCTTCCTGTGTGTGCAGGACTATTAAAAATTTTAAACAAATCAGTAAATAAACGTCATTTACACCAGTGATATCATAATCTTTCGAACGATACGTCTATACTTCCGAAGCACTTGACGTTTCGATAGGATTCTCACAGCCTGTGCTTCTCACTCACAGCTGGAGTATCAGCGTATATCTTTCGATATATTTATAAGAATTGAGACGAACATTTACCATCGGCGGCATAAGTAGAAATTGCCGCACCAAAAACTTAACGGTTCCCTCAAGCCCGACTCACTCAGAAATACGTCGTCACATACGGTAATGTGCATCGTGCGTGGACGAATCGTCATTGTCGTCGTGTGGTTCGCGAAATATCGGGGGAGAAGTGTCCCAAAGAGAATCAACGTCTTTTAGAGAGGAACAAAGGCTTTTCAGGGCATCGTACGTTTCTCGAAACGCTATTTAAACGAATACTAACTATATCGATCATATTGGTCGTGTGGCAAATGATCCGACGATGATCGGAACTCTATACTTAAGAAGCGAAGTGTTTTTCGAACTGGCACAGAGAACGTCTTAACTTGATCCGAGATTCGTCCACTTTCCACAGAATTACATACAAGTAGGTTTACAATCTCTCTCTTTCTCTCTTCGGCTCATAGTGCTAACAGATATCTAGGCTTGCTATTCTGAACATGTTACATCCGAATTCGTCGTTTACCAGCTACATGTTTATCATTCATCAATTTATTGAGAAAGAAAGGGGCCTGCTGATCGAATTTGACTCAATATCACGCGTTACGATATGTACGATACAACTGTGGAAGTAAAGATTTCACTCTACACATAATTATAGCTATATGCAGTCGGTATGATAGATTTCTTAACCTAACCTGACGAAATTTGGATTTTGAGACTTTGTTACGTGTGTATGTGGATGCGTTCGAATTTATTACATTATAATTAAATATGCACAAGCATAAATGTATTATATATATAAGCAATTTCGTCTGTATTAAGAATATATTGGTTGGATAGTCAATATATTTCCTAACTACAAAATTTTTGGGGATAGTTATAATCTTTGCTTGTACATATTTAAATTGCTAACAAAATACATGAACCAAGCACTGAGAAGACCATTGTAATTATTAGCATATATTTTTCGCAACATACTTAAATAAGAAAATATACAAAAGTTGCCTATAAAACCTGCAGATAATCAAATTTGTGCATATATTTAGAAACATCCAAAAAAGTATTATTTAAATCTTTCTTAATAGTGTTAAATTTTTTTTATGTATCATAGTATTTTAATTGCCATTCAATAACTCAAAAGGGAAAAAAATTTTCATTTAGAACTATGTCTATATTATTTGGGATAAAGTTGCAAGTAATTTAAAAATAGTTTTTGAAGTGTTTATAGCCTATATATCAAATTTTAGATATATTTTTAATGATTATAGTTAAGTAACAACAATGTTTGTTTTATTTTCAGTATTACAAGAAATATGATGTCCAATGGTATGCAAAGTTCAACTAGTCAAATCAAAGGCAGTTCTGTGGTGAATAATGTACATCATATCTCAGCATCATCATCAACCCTGAATTCTCCACTTATGAAATTGTCTTCATATATTTCGGCACTCCGACCATGGTCACTGAGCGCATCTTTAATGCCAACACTTCTTGGATCAGCTCTTGCATATCGAATGATGGATGTAGTGAGCTTTAATTGGTTATCATTGATCCTTACTGTATATACAGTAGTTTGTGTACATTGTGCTGGTAATGTAGTGAATACATATTTCGATTATATAAAAGGTGTCGATAGTCGAAAGAGCGATGACAGAATACTGGTGGATCAATTATTGTCAAAAGATGAATTAGTCTCATTAGGAGCGATTCTATATGCTGCTGGATGCATTGGATTCATTGGTTTGGTGCTCATCTCACCTGCAAAGATGGAACACTTGGCTCTCGTATATTTCGGAGGATTATCTTCCTCGTTTTTATACACAGGAGGCATAGGATTAAAATATATTGCATTGGGCGATGTACTTATCTTAGTTATATTCGGTCCAATTTCGGTTCTGTTTGCGTTTATGGCACAAACCGGTTATGTTGAGCTGGGAACGATATATTATGCGATACCGCTTGCGCTAAACACCGAAGCTATTTTACACAGTAATAATACGAGGGACATGGAGAGTGACAAAAGGGCAGGAATCGTGACTTTGGCGATTTTGGTAGGTCATACCGCGTCTCACGTTTTGTATGCTTTTCTACTATTCACACCGTACATAACTCTTATAGTATTGGCGTTAAGATATTCCATATGGTTTTTACTGCCTGTCATCACTCTGCCAACCGCCTTTAAAATAGAGAAGGATTTTCGTGACCCAAATAGGATTCAGAATGTGCCTAGACAAACAGCCAGATTAAATACATATTTAGATATTTTGTATGTTGTCTCTTGTCTACTTGTAGGCTCACTTCCCTATCTGTAAATTATTTGTATTTTTTATTAAATTTTGTATCAACATCACTAAAAGCAAATTGAAATACTTATTAATATTTATCGGCAGCTGTTGTTAACGGATACATTTTATAATTTTATCTAACTTGAATCTGTGCAGCTCGTGCAATGCTTACAAATTATATTTAACAATATGTAACTGAATGTCACTATTGATGTGACTATCGACTACTACTGTAATTGCTGATGACTGACATCATAATACTGACATCTCATTGATTAACGTATCAGTCTTCACTAATTTATATTATTTAATATTAATTATTAATATCAATATTAATAATAATTATATATTATTTTTAATATTGATTATTAATAAATTATTGAACATTAGTTATTAAAAATAAAATATTTTGATATTTGAATTCAGCTAAATTTTTAATGAATCATTTGAGAAATTGAGTTATGCAACGTAAATTTATGTACATATTTCATTAAATGTGTATACAATAAATATTTTCACAGACACTTTTACTTATTATTTATATAATATAATTTAATGATTGTAATAGGTTACTTACATTTTGAACATTAACAATGTTATATATTTGCATAAAACTATACATATGTATCTGTTATATATTGACAGTGTGCTACATTTTTATATGAATAGTTTAATTTTAGTTAATTTTGTCAATTTTTTTTAAATAAATTTTATTTCGTAAAAAGCAATTCAAATGTTCACATCGATGTTATAGTATATAATTGCTATAATATATAACTAAATAACAGCCATTAGAATCTTGTAGAATAACTATAATTTTATATTTTTATGTTTAAGTGTTGTAAAAGGCTTATGGTTGTGAAGTATTTATTTTTTAAATAGGAGTTAAAATTTATCAGAAATATAATGAAGCTACGCAAATTGAACATGGTTCAATCTGTATCATCCCAGTTAATTATAAGATTATAAGAAAAAAAGTCTTATGCAAAAGTATTTCATATAAAAGTAAAATGTAAAATTTTCAAAACTAGAATCTCATTAAAACTTTATTTAAAGATTCATAACTTAATATAATTACGTGTAATCATATGCAAAAACTTATTATATAAAAACAGAGTATGTCACATATATCAAATCTGTATTATATTCTGTATATAACTTCGTATTGTATTATCTTGTTTGTGGTAAACTTCAATTCATAAACATATAAGATTTTATTATATCCTATATTAAATATCTCTCTTTGAGCATATACCTATGGATTAAATGTACACTTAAATGTACAATAAAATATCATATCAAGAATAAACATATGTATTTAAAAAAAGAATCAAAGAAAGATATATGAATATAGGTGGAAATAATATTGTATTTTTATATAAGAAATTTATTTTTTTTAATACACTTAATTTTTTTCAGTATTTTTTATTCCTGAAAAATCTTTTTCCCCTCTATATAGGAACTTAACTGTCAATGTACAATATCGAATGACAATATCTTAAAAATTATGGAGAAATCTTTTGTTAAAAATATATATTTTCTGTATGATGCGACACTACAATTTATACATATTGTATAATAAGGATAATTATGTTATAAAAAAAAATTAAGACTAAGTTACAAATATTTAAATAAATAATCCCATAGCATTTTTATAATACTTTCTTCATTTTTTTATTTACTGGCCTTAAATAATATAATTTTAACAGTGATGAATAATATTTTACGATTAATTAAGTTTTGTTCAATATGCATGTAATATACATCATACACAGGTATGCATATACAGGGTTTGCCAAAAGTTCCGGAACGGCTAATTATTTAAAAAAATAATGATTGTTTAAAACAATGTTTGAAACTAAAGTTGTAGGGCTTAAGAAAAGCTATCAGATATTGATAATTGTTTGACCTTGGAATGATCTTGAGAAAAGTTATCAAAGTCGACATAAAAATCTTAAATGGAAACTCCAATTTTTTATTACACCGTTTTTTTCCACCAATTAATTTTAACAACTTTTGTCTGAAACATTTTTTTATTTGCCTAATATTTTTTGAGATATTAAAGGATAACTTGGTAACTTTTTCAATATTTAACTTACGATATCTCGCTAACTGTTTGTCGAGATAAAAAAATAGTACTAAACTTTTCTATTCTACTTGGTCTCAAGAATATATTGTTACAATAGCGCCCTGACTTTTGTTAATTTAATGATTTTGAAATTTCGAAAGATCGATAAATTAACAAAAAATAGAGTATTATTGTACCAATATATTCTTGAGATCAAATAGAATAGAAAAGTCTGGTACCATTTTTTTATCCCGACAAACAGTTAGCGAGATATCGTAAGTTAAATATTGAAAAAGTTACCAAGTTATCCTTTAATATCTCAAAAAATATTAGGCAAATAAAAAAATATTTCAGACAAAAGTTGTTCAAATTAATTGGTGGAAAAAGACGGTGTAATAAAAAATTGAAGTTTCCATTTAAGATTTTTATGTCGATCTTGATAACGTTTCTCCATTCCAGGTCATTCCAAGGTCAAACAATTATCAATATCTGATAGCTTTTTTAAGCCCTACAACTTTTGTTTCAAACATTATTGTTTTAAACAATCATTTTTTGAAATAATTAGCCGTTCCGGAACTTTTGGCAGACCCTGTATGTAAACACCACACGACGAAGTAACACGTATAACGCTAATTAATATTGTTAAGTTTTTCTGTTTACAGTCGAATAAAGAAAACTTACGCGCTTCCTTCCATCTCAATTTCATCGAGCAAGGCATTTCTCAGTTTGTCTTCTAATAACACATTCTGCAAACGTTGCGCTTGTAAACGCTTTTCTATATCCTTGCACGACAGATGCACTTCCATAACTTGATTCTTAGTATCTTCGCAAAATTCCGCCAATGACTCAAATTCCTCATCTAACGCGCTCTCGTTTAAATTATCGTACGATCTGTCGAGTCTTGCTTTCTTTTTCAATATTTCATATGATGACAGATCGTTATCGCTCGAATTTAATTCACGTGACATGAATTCCGTCAGTACATTAGATTTGAACCACCATGGTAATGTTCGGAAATGCTTGATGTGATTTTTGTTATAAATGACCGTCTGATCACCGTCCAAGAGACTTATTTTTTCCTTGATCACGTGCAATAACACTTGCACGAAGTTGGATACTTGTAAATTGTCTGACGTAAGAGAAAAGTTGCTAAAAATATCACAGAGTACAATGTTACAATTTGCGTCAGACAGTACCTCTGTGCAATAATTCATGATACGTCGCCGTAGTTCTCGCACGTCTATTATTGGCCATGGTGCACTAAAACAAACGACAAGCCACATATGAATATTGAGATATTGAAACTAACAATGATTAGACAATATGAATATTAATGAATTAATTGCGGCAACGTAAACTACTCACTTCCACGGTGGTAACACGAAGCTATTCATCGTGGCTTCTAATTCTGCTCTATATTCGTCTCGTTTCCACGACTCGTTAAAATATTCATAACCGCATGGCATGACATGATCACTTTTAAGAAATTGTTTAAATTCGGGCGCGAAGCTGGTATACAATGTGGATTCCGGGTCTAAGATGATGTCCATTAGATGATTCACCGCTTCATTGTGCAAATCGATTATGAAATTAGGATCCTTCAGCGCATTCGACAGCTGCTTATTGAACATGGCATCGCCTAATATTCTGCAAGATACAGTAACAAAAAGCGAAATACGATGATTTGAAGTACAACCGAATACATCAAAGTGCAAAAAAGGGAGGAAAAACGAGTTACCTCAACCACAACTCCTCCGACAAACAAATATCGTATACGTTGTGCAAATAGTCCATCTCCAGTGGGTTTATCGGCGATTTGTTCATCGTTAGCCACAAGATCGCACTCTGCGTTAAATTGAGAATCACTTTTGCGGTCAGGTTTTTCTCAAACATGATCGTGTACTCCGACACGTAGCCAGACTCCAGAAGGGACTCCAGTTCCGAGACGATACTTTCGTTCTGATGTTCCAGGTTTCCACTGCCCAGGACGATAAAGGTGAGTGGTATAGGCATCAGCTTATGCCTCGACAATACGGTTTTCGTTAAACGTCTGGCGACAGACTTGCAGTCCTCCGAAGCATCGGCGATGAAGAGGAACGCGTCGGTGCCAATGAGATTCTGCTCGCTGATAAAACCCTCGAAGTACCGCACGCAAATGTGCAGAGCTTCGTAGGGATTCGGCATGTATATCTTCACGATGGGCTCCATCGTGAAGTCTTCTGGATATAGGTACCTGTTCATCACTTTCTTGTGCTGCCACAGCACTGCCTTGTTGCTGAGATCCGGCCAGGAGATGACGAGCTTCCAGAACACGTTAGGCAGAGGATTAACGTCCAACAAACGCAAATTCTCCTTGATACCGGCGCGCACGATAAGCTCGACAGGTGCGAGTTTCTCCGATTCGTCTACGTGCTCCTCCTTCTGCTCGAGTCTTTTCTTGCGCATATTGCGAATCACTATGTCCTGCTCCTTAGTATACAGCATTTTCGCGCACTCCTCCAGTGATTGTCTCTGTAACCAGACCGGTGTGTCCTCCAGTGCTAGTCTTTGTCGTCTCTTCTTCAGGATGTATCGCCTCCAAGCGTTGAAGCACTTGGCCATTATTTGATTCCTCACTTTCAGCATTATCTCCTGCAACTTTTGCTGATTAGCGATCTCCGTGGTAATGATCGCGTCGCACATCTCGCGGATCACTTCGCTGATCACGTCGCCGGCGTGTTTCTCGCTCAGCATGTCATACATTTTTATCCGGTCAGTGTGCTCCTTCGCGATAGCAAAGCAGAATTCCTGTATGACTTCCGCGTGCAAGTTGTTGTAGATTTCCTCGGACCGCTCCTCGATCTGTCGCATTCTTTTTGCATGCTCTAGCTTCTCCAGCCTCGCTTTCTCGTCTTCCTGCGCATCCTTCTGAACGGGCTCCTTTTTGTGGAAGATGTCAGACGGCGGTGTCACTTTGTTCGCAACGCTCGTGTGACACACGGTCGATTGTTGTGCAGAAACAGCCGCAGGAAAGCGATTACCGGAGAACACCGTCGGGGAAGACGTAGCGCCTTTCATGAATATATTTCCCGTTCCCGTACCGGAGAAGATGCTTTTGTTCACAGCGACTGCAAATGGCGTAGCGACGGTCTCCACGCTACGCGATGTTTCCGACTGCTTGGGAAACACAACGCTGTTGTTGGCAAATGGATTGTTCATGAGAGAACTATTGCTACCGAAGATCGTGGAGTGCTTGTTGCTGATCGTAGTGTTTTCACGACGCGCCGCGCTAACGATCGCATTTTCATTGTCGAACGCTTTCAGCAAAGTTGACGGCGGCTTGCTCTCAAATATACTCGGAATTTTTTGCTTGTGTCCAGTGGATACGTCTGGCTCGAATGTCACTGTTTTAATAACGTTCAAGCTGACTGGTTCGGAGACTGGTTTCGGTACGCTTGATTCGTTATTCATCGGCTGCTTCTTGATATGCATAGGACTGCCAGCAGTTGGATTTTTATCCTGCGTTAGCTTCGGTATCTTCCTCATCTCTTTCTCCGTAGAGAGAGATTCCTTGGAACTAGAACCAGCGAAAGAGTCACTCGAAAAGGAATTTTGATCCTCGGCGTTGGTCGATTCAGGTAATAAATTGCCGTATGCGTCGAAGCTGTTGTGCGGCTTGTGATTCTCATAAGTTTTACTCGGCATCTTCCCGCCGGCGATATACTTCCCGATGCTGAAATTTGATCCGTCCGTCTTGGATTTGATTAATTCGTAAGGCCTGCGCTGCTGTATATGCGTCCCGGATATGTTGAAGTTCTGGCGATTCAACAGAATATACATCTCGTCACTGGACAGATTTAGTCCCACTTGTTCACAGAAGTACATAATCTCGTCCTCGTCCTCGAAGGCAAGGATATCTATTAAATCGTACAACGGAAAAGCTGTCGAGGTGCTTCTGCAGTATGCTTTCACCATTATTGAAAATGCTCTCATCCTGACTTGACTGAAGTATCTCAACAAGATACAAGTATTCATATAGGTTGTCTGTCGAACGAGCTTGAAAAATTTGTTATAATTATTTGAGCTTAGTGCAAAATATACCTTGGTCGCGAATTGAATCTCCGGCGAATTTTGCACGGACTTCGGCAGCTGTTGCAAATCGTACATAAAACTGCCGTTGTTTAGATTCAATAGAACAATATACGCACGGAACTCGGGCTCGTTCTCACAAGCAATACCTTTCTCTCTTAAATCTTGGTACATGTACTTTAACGTCTGCAAGCACTTGGTCAGATTCTCCGAGTTGATTTTCTTGTCGAATACAGACGCGTCTTCTTCGCAAAGTTTTTCCGAGCACACAATGTGAAATCTGGCGCATTGTTCGATCAATTCAACGCTGTCCTTGCAGCAAAGCTCCTGTTGAGTGATGTCTTTCCGAATTCCTCTTGTCCTATCCCAGAGAAAATGATACCATTCCGCCAGGTTTGTGCTCTGCTGATCACAGAGATCTACTATCTCGTGAAGCAAATAGCTCATAGTCATTTTCAAGGACTTCACCGGCCTCAACTCATGAGACATCGGTTCTTCTTGATCTGCGGATGATCTCGAATATTGCTTTACAGCTGTTGCATGATTGATTTTATACTCGTTTCCGTCGATTTGTTCGTATGGCGAGACCTGCCTCTGTGACTCACGCATAAGACGTTCCTTTTCGGGGCACATGTCCGGGCAAGTGCCGCTGGTCGTTTTGGCTGTCGCCAAAGAAGCCGGCTTAACTCGTTTTAACCTCATAAGGCGGTCTCTAGCTTCCAATACTTTATACTTGTCTTCAGTTGTAAGGGCGACCTGATGAATTATATTCTGTAATTCTTCAACAGGAGTGTTGGGCAAAAGATTGGTGATCTGACTTTCAGCTTCGTGTTTTTCAACTTTTGCAGCAACTTTCTCTAATTTCAACGTAGCTTTCTCCTGCAGCAATGCCATTTTTCCCCCTGGTATTCTAGTTCTTGCTGGTATATCAGGTATCTCAGGCACCTTGGTAGAAGGTAAATTATATTCTAAATTTGCCATAGCTTCTAATTCAGATAAAACTTCATAGTCGGTTGTTTTAAGCAGATTTGTTACCAAGTTATTGTGTATATTTTTCTTTCTAATTGGTGATTTCACTATTGGCTCCTCCTTTGCCCATTCTATGTGAAACGTCTCATTCATATAATTGCCACCCTTGTAATATGCTGTGTTTGCTTCATCTTTTGACATGTAAGTTACTGTAATTATATGTCTTCTTGGACGAATATTTATTCTCATGATATTTCCATAATTCCTGAAATATTTTTTAGCTGCAATTTTATTTAACAAAGCTTGAGGAACACCAGAACATTTGATTGTATTTTCTATATTGATTTTCATAGTATCTTGTGTTCTTGATCTTGTGTTCTTCTTTAGCTGATCAAATGCTCCTGTATCTTTGAGAGCATTAGCAAACACATTAAGAGGAGGTTTATACAAGGGCCTAGGAATTTTTGGTTTGTGTCTGTTGCGATTATCTGCTTGCAGATTTGTAGAAGTTTGATCATATTGAGATACTATAGTAGGTGGAGCAAAAGTGAATACATTCTTCCTGGTAGATTGAACATCAAATATATGATCTGATCCAACACCAAAATTAATAATTCTTGGAAGATCAGATACAGCACTCGGTCTGGAGAATATAAAAGGGTTGGAAACTGTTGGTTTTGGATCATCAATTTCCATGTCCGCATCCATGTTGTTTCAGAGTCTTTAACGTTCCCTACAAAAAAGGGTAAACAAATATTTATCACTGTCAAATTTAATCAAAGGTTTCAATGAACAGATACTTATTTAAAATCTTTCAATATGTAAAGTAAAATTGATAACAGTAGTTGTAAATGTAATTCATCATTAAGTTTATTTTCTTTTTAAACCTTAATCACGACTTTGAAGACGTCGAATAAAAGTATCTTGATCAAAACTTATAGCAAAATCCGTATTCCAAGCATTTCACACTAATCGAAAACTAGAGACAAACATGCGTTGTTATATACTGCTAAACAAAATCTTGCTATTATTTTCACAACTATATCTTTCAGTTAATCTTAATTAATAATTGCGAATTACAAGAGCTCCCCTGTCACTAAACAAAACGGTCATAAGTGAGATAATTATTCTAACCCGTATATATATATAATCACGCACAACAATGGAGCCTTAAAAAATAACAGAGTTCCTCATTGCGCAACGCACAGTATTGCAACATTCAGATTGAAAAAGTTCTTTTCTAGAGACAAATACTGTTATCTAAAATCCCTAGTGAGAAAATAACAATATTACAAATCCATGCTACACTCGCACGACGCTCTATTCTCGAGAAGTCTAAAACTTGCAAGGATACGATCTTGTTCGTTTCTCTTGCAGTTGTTCCCCGTGAATGAGTGCAAATCGAACATTGGGATTCATTACAAATAGCTAGAATAGAAAAATCTCGGACCCCATGGCCTGATTCGAACGTCGCGCGCGCGCATTCGTTTTGCAATTGCATCATCTGCGTTGTGAGTGAAAAATACGATCAGAGAGAAAATTGTTGCCGCGAACGCGACCGACGACTGCTCACCGTGCGACCTTTTTTATGTAAAAACCGCGGGCAACCGGTCGCGATTGTCTCGCGATGCCCGTAGTGACTACGATCGTACAATTGTTATCGTTTCACCAACAGCAACATCAGCAACAACAGCGACGACTTGACACCGCGGCGCCGGCAGCGAACAAAATGGCGATCGTGCCAAAAGTCACGCTTCGCCCAACTCTCGGCGGATAATGACGTCGCGACGGCGATGGTCGGCTGGCAAATCGACTACGTATCGACGACGCAAATTATGCCCGAGATGTACGCCCGATGACGAGCCCGAGTGTGAGTATAATGCGCGTGAAATAACAAACGCGTTGCCCCATCGGCGGCAGCCAAGGAAGTGCAACCACTGCGAGACGCGCCTGCCGCAGATTCGTCGACCATCGCCGAATCCGGTTCACTCCCCCTCAAGTTTGAATTCTGTAACGGTCGTACCCAAGTAAGTGTCAAGCATTCTTGGAGCCTGTGCAACCCGTATAGTCGAAAGTACGAGCCGCTGGTGTGATTTCTCGCTGTCGCTTGCTCTCTCTCTCTCTCTCTCTCTCTCTCTCTCTCTCTCTCTCTCTCTCTCTATCTCTCTCTCTATCTCTCTATCTCTCTCTCTCTCTCTCTCTCTCTTTCCCTTTCTCTCTCTTTCTTTCTCTCTTCTTCTTTGACTTTTTGATTGAGCCGTGTATACGACACTTCTCCATGGTGAGCAGTCGCGCCATCCCGACGACGATGACGGCAGCGAACGTCACGAGAAATCGCGCACGTAGGCAGTCAGGGAGAAAATCCTGTTCACCTTAGTTATCCACCCACTCTCTCTAACCTTCTGCGTATTTACGCTCCGCTCCGCTTTATTCTGCGTCGTGTCGCGCTCCACACCGCCGGGTATCGCGCTAATTGAAGGCTTGTCGTTTGTATTAACGTCGCGCTGATGACAGGTCTACCCGATCGGTACTTACTGCGCCGTACACCCACAACTGGATCACGATGGAGGACGCGAATGAGGTCTTGGTTAGCGCGGCCGAATTCATAAAAGGTAACGTGTTCCACGCGATCGACAGATTAGAATCTATTTTTGATTGGAATTACAGGAAAAGATAAACCTTTTGTGTAATCGTATTTTTCAGTAATAAGTTTATGAAGCTCATTAATTGATATTGACATGTATCAATTGAGATTTTAAGAATCCCTGGGATCTGAGAACTGAAGTTTTTTTTTTGATACACTGTAATAAAAATAAATAACTTTTTTTACAGATCGCTTGTACTTTGTAACATTAAGAACAACGATGAAACCAAAAAGTACTCCAAACACTCATTATTTCTGTATCGATAATGAGTTGGTGTATGAAAACTTTTATGCTGATTTCGGTCCCTTAAATTTAGCCATGCTGTACAGATACTGCCAAAAGGTTAACAAAAAATTAAAGGGTATCGCGCTCAGCAAAAAGAAACTTGTGCATTATACGACACTAAATTCAGAAAAGAGAGTGAATGCCGCATTTCTCATTGGATGTTATGCGGTAAATCCCTTTTTCTATTATGTAATAATATATTCTCACATTTATATTATGTTGTGTTATAGTTTTATAATTTATTTATATTGTATTGTATTATAGTGTTACAAGACATTATTCAAAACTAGTAATTCCATTTTGCATATTTCAGATATTATACTGTAAACGTACTGCACAAGAGGTTTACGAGTGTTTAACTAAAAGTTCAAATAATCTTGGATTCATTATGTTTCGTGATGCCTCCATTGGACCACCATGTTACCAGATATCATTAAGTGATTGTCTAAGTGCTATATACAAGTGCCATCAACTTGGTTTCTTTAATTTTGAAGATTTCTGTGTGAAAGAATATGAACATTTTGAGAGAGTTGAAAACGGAGATTTAAATTGGATTGTACCTGGAAAGTTTATTGCTTTTTGTGGTCCACATGCAAGATCTAAGGTTGAAGATGGTATGTATTGTCTTGTAAGCTTTTTGTTCTTATTGCTTCAGGTAATATATGCATCATATAAGGTTATAAGTATGCGTTTTGTTATCTATAGGTTATCCTCTGCATGGTCCAGAGTCATATTTTACATATTATCGCCGTAACAACGTAACGACAATTGTACGGCTTAATAAGAAGATCTACGATGCTTCAAGCTTTACTGATGCAGGCTTCAATCATAAAGATTTATTTTTTGTGGACGGTTCAACGCCGACGGACTCTATAATGCATCAGTTTCTTAAAATAGCAGAAAATGCTAGCGGTGCAGTTGCCGTGCATTGCAAAGCGGGTCTTGGGAGAACTGGCTCTCTGATTGGTTGCTATATTATGAAGCATTACCATTTAACAGCTCATGAAACGATCGCTTGGATAAGGATATGTAGGCCAGGTTCTGTAATCGGACATCAGCAACAATGGCTAGAAAAGTGAGTGTGTGTGTGTAATTAACTTGCATTATATAGCTCGAGGGGATTACCGAATGAATTTTAACGAGTAACATTGATGTGTGCATCTTAGAAAAGAGGCCTATCTTCGTTCACTGCTGAAGGATCCGTTGCAACCTGTAAATGGAAACCCAGTTCACGAATATGGAATATACTCGATAATTGGCAGGCCCAGAACGGCTTCCTGGAGTAATGTAAAGAGTCTCGTGGAAGACAACGTATCGGGAATAATGCATCGTGTAGATGGAATGAAATTGGATGATCCCGCTCCGGTAGCCGGTGCCAGTGGTCCAACTAGATACAGCACACTGACTCAAGGTGACAAATTGTGCAGAATCAAAGCTAAAAGAAGAGGCATACCGCCGACTCAAACTTCTCTTAGTACATCCACAGGGACGTCCACTGTTGTACAGTAAGTATAGAGTTTCTCTATCTTGATAAGAAGTCTTCTGGAAATAAATATCCGTATACTAATACGTGTTAATATATTAGGGGCTTGCAAAAGTTCGTCGGATTTTTTGCCATATTTCTTTTAATAGTAACGAAACAATACATGCCATGTTCAATCAAAGTATCCGCCATCGTTATTCATCACTTTCTGCCACCTTTCAGGTAATTGTCCGACTCCGCATCTATGTAAAATGACCCACCCTTTGTGCCATTTTAAATCATTGACAATCCGACGAACTTTTAAATATTTACGTATACATATTTATATATTATACTTACAGCCCTTATTTGGGACCTTTATTGCAAACCAGGAGTCAAAAGGGAACGATTGCTGCTCTATCGGGAAATAAAGAGAGAGATCCTACCAAGAGGCTCCTATCACGATCTACTGCAACGACAGTTGTGAAAAGGTCAGACGAGTTCTTACTTATACTTTATTAATATTGAAATAAATAAATTATTTTTTCTGTTCTTAAATCGCTTCATTTAACAATATAATATTCTTTTTTTAGCACACTTCTCTAATTATTGTATTATTTAATATATTTCTTTGTACCGAATCTGTTCTCTCTCTCTCTCTCTCTCTCTAAGTTACGCTTATGCACCCAATATATGCTTTTAACTAAAAAAATCAATGAACTGATATTTAACCGGTACTTTTATCTGTATTGCATGCATCAAGCGATAGAGTTTCTCTTTATCTTGACTGGAAATTGTAGAAACAGTTGGTTGGTCAGCAGTAGCTGTGATCCATCTTCCTGCCGTATTAGGTCTAAGCCAGCAACACAGAGCCATAATATCAACAACAATACAACCACCACTACTCCCGTTACATCTTTAACCGTATCAAAGCCAGTGAGAAGGGCGAAACGTACTTCCTGCATGGCACAGGCCCATACTACAAATTCGTCCGCAAATCATTCGGTACCGCAGCCGCAACAAGGCATGAATATGATCCTCAGGTCGGCAGACCGAATTACCCGCTATTCACTCAGGCAGTAAGTTAATAACTGTCCCTTTCGAATTTGGGTCGAAATTTATAATTATGCGGTTTGGAAAACTGCTTGTTTGAGAGAAAAGCTTTGACGGTTTGATCACCATATTCCCCATGCTTCTAACACTCAGCTTTGCTCCGTTATCATGATACATATGCTATCACATTTTATGTATACTAGTATCTTTTTATATTTTATCTTTCACTCTTCACCACCAATCACATCATATACATGCACACTCACCTATACATGGAGACAAAAATGAATTGATTAAGATTTATAATGATTAACGGATGAGTCCCACAAAATTCTGTGTAACTTCATCATTTTGCATATTCTGTAAAATATAAACATATATCTTATACAGCTTTAAACTGATTTATTTTGTACTGATTTTAAAAGAAATATAAGTTGCTAACAATACAATAATTTAAAGTGTCAAATTTTTCAAATATTATATTATCGATACTGATGATATATTGATTGATTGAATAGATATCGCATGTGGCATGACCTCAAATTTTGTCTTTGTTCAAAGCATGCAGTACATGCTAAAAACTTTACAGGCCTGGGCAAATAACAGTTGAACAGAAACGTGTTAACGGTTAATGTTCATTTTAGTCCAGGCCTTAGAATAATGTATGCTACATTTAGTGCTTAAGCAATACGTAGCACCAGGGGTGGCTAACGAACCGATCCTATTTATTTTTGTGACTTGCAGTGCGCGCACAACAAAAAGTTATAAAAGTGCATTTATCAGATGACTAACCGATATTCCCAGTGGCGTTGGGGAGGACTGTCAGGTAACTGGAGCATCTCACCAGCGCCGAAGATCTCATCGCTTAAACCCCATCATTCAATAAAAGCATTCAATAGAAGCACTTCACTGATCTCCAATTGATCCTCCTTCAACTTGAACAAGTTTTGCCCAGGCTTTTATCACCATCAACGAAGGTCAAACTACATCTACAGTCATCAACATGCATTATTTAATATGGTTTGTCACATCTGGAGTCTGAATGAGGACTATAATGCGATGTGTCACCGATCTCAGAGTGAGTAAAACTGTATATGCCAAAGGCATTTCTCACCGTGATCCTTTAACAATTGCTGTCTTTCGCACCACGCGGATGCCCGAGCGGAATGCACCGTGTTTATTCACGTCTTATCCAGACTCCTGTTATATCTGTACATCATGAAATATGAATTTGTTGCATAATACCTAATATATATCCTATGCAGCTTTTAATTGTTCTTCCATGCTGAAGTCAATACGTTGAGTGTCTGCAACAGGAAAATCAAACTTTCGTTAATATCATCTATTCATTCTAACACTTTGCTGGCCACAAAAAAGCATTGCGAATGTATATTTTTTCAAAATCATTGATTTGCACATAATTTTACAGTAATGCGTTTTTAAATTTCGTTGAAGGATTCATTTAATGCTCACGCATTTCTTTCAAAATATAGTGGACGTATACGTATACGTTTAGTGAACTTATATTTTGCGATGATAAGACCCAAAATATACTCCTTTCGTGTTTATACCTTTATCAAAAAAATTTTTATGAGGTATTACGCTGATTATCTTCATTATTCTAAAGGAGTGATAAGCAATGGTTCTCCTGCTATTGCAGCCACAATGGTTAATGGTCTATCATAGAATGTAAAGTAAAGAATCTCTATTGGCGTTAGAATTTTGAAGGAATCGACTTTGTGACTCATCTTTTGGATGATTAAAGAAGTAGAAAGATAAATCTCATGTAAGGCCTCAAAATTCAAATTTGTTACATCTTTTGTTGTGATATTATGCAAGTTTTTATATATTTATATATGAGAAACTCTTATATTGTTATGAAAAAGAAATTATTGTGAACTGGAATTGGATAGTTAGCAGGAAAAATTTATTTAGCATGATTATGGTATATATAACGTGTAGGAATATGTATTAAAGGAGTATAAATGTTCCGCAACTGACTGTCAGTTTAAAACAATGTTAAAAACCTCGATACACTGTAATTTATGGCACCTGTTGAAAGTTATTTTTGTTGCTTTGAACTTGGACAAAAGTAGTAGAGAAAGAGATTTGTAAAGCCCAATATCTATATGTGCAGTTTATACAACTAATGCAGCGTACTTTGCAAGAGATATTATTTGATGAAAAATATATCTCTCGCTAACCTCCATTAAAAACATAGAGATGTAGAGCGTATTTGTACATTTTTTATTTGATCGAATAATGTAGGTTTGTAGATTTTACAAATGCGATGTGACTACATATAAATTTGTTATTGCGCTAATTATATATATATATATATATATATAATTATATATATATATATATTATATTATATATATATAATTATATATACATATATATATATACATATATACATACATATATATATATATATATATAAAACTCTTTAACAAGTAATGGCAATCTTAATTGTAGTAACAATTTATTGAAGAGAATTTTAATATGTAAGAAATATTCGGGTTATCTTCAGGTCTTTTTGTAAATATATTAGTAAAATTCAGTTGCATAATTTACAAGGATACTTGCATGTTGTCATGGTCACTCCAGCATAAAACATATCAAGTGATGTGATGAAATATAACGATAATACAAATTGTTACTTATACATTTGTGAGAATTAAGTTTTGAGAAAGGAAGCAAATAGAATTTTAACATTTTACATTAAAAAAAAATTAAGAAACTAGCAAATAACGTTTTATCATATGATTCAAATTGACCTGAAGATAAGACAACAAAGATAATGAACATCCCGATGTAGCACTGTAAATTGTACATAGAGGTATAAGACGATTATTTGGAATACCGTTAAGTACAACACTGAAACTAAGTTGTTACTCTTACGAGTACCCTGGTTTCTTGTACATATTATGTTACTTTTTAGTAGCCATGAAAGTTGCACTTCTTGACATACTTATACATAATAGAATTCGTAGTGCTCTAAAATATTGCTTTTATATAAAGCAGTATTTTTATTTATAACTCAAATATATGTCCATCATTTGTTTAATAGTCATTTATTTAATATCAGAATGCGTAATCGCTTATTAGGTGTACAGCCATAAGATGTAGTAGTTGTAACATATAAATGAAGATTTATTAAAAAAAAGAGAGAGAGGAATGCTTTAAAAATATTATAGGAATCTAAGTTACATCGAGATTGTCCTAAGCTGCAGAAAGAAATCGTCAATTTCAAATATCAAGATAAGTGGCAGTCGTAAGAGTAACGATAATTGTTGTTTATGGATGCTATCAGGCAATGTATTTAAGATCCGTGTATAATTAAAACTGAATTATTTTTTATGAAGTTAGTATAAATAACTAAAAGTATAAATATGTCAATAGTAGTTTTAGTATGCAAAATCTTGACTAACTTCAATTCAATCTAATTTCTCTTGTGGAAGCATGTATATCTATATTTTGGAAAGAAAGTCCAATATTTAAAATATACAATTTTATATAACAATGGTCCCAACTATTTATTTATTTGTATCAAAAACTTTAATTGTGGAAGTTTATATCTTCTTACAAATATTCGAAAAAGAATATTACATCTTATATCTTCTTTTTACTAATTTTAGTAATTAATTACTAAATTAGCAATTAATTATTTTTAGTAACCGAAAGAAAGAATATATATTTCTATAAATTTCGGACGTCGGTCTTTTTTCTTCCAATTATATATATACATATGCTTTTACGTAAAAATACAATCTATATATATTATATCTATAATATTAATTACATATTAACTTGTAAAATAAAATGAATATAGGAGCAGTATCCTTTTTTCTAATAATGATATTTAAGAACAGATGTTATTAAAATGTGATGTTTAGAGATATAGTTTTAATGTGTCATTAGATTCCAAAAGATAGGATTTATAGTAGAGAGCAATTATTTATTTTCGAATAAACGCACCATCTAAATTGTAAAAGTAGCAAGTTTTCACAGCTCCAAGATCTAGTAAAGTACTTTTGAATTTTGAACAGAATTTTGTATAACATTTCTTTATTGTAATGTTCAATTGTAATATTGCATGTAATAAGATTTCTATCGCATAAAAACTGCAATTGTCATTATTATAAAAATAAAATTGATAATATACATAAAAATAAAAGAACAAGGATCTTGTCCTACTCGAAGATACATATTTATATACTTGTGTTTTAATATTGAAAATATCTAAAACCTTTCTATATTTTTGTAAAAAAGACAATTTTGCATGTACAATTGCATCACAATTGTTGACTTATATAATGGCTATGGTTTCACACAGTGATATTACAAATGTAACATTACAAGTATAACACTATTAAAAGGAAAAAATGTCTTAGCAAAAATGTTTCTATTCGTTATGAAAATACGACGTTTAATGTAATATTAGATTAGAATATAGAATATTGAGAGTATTATTTAACATTGTATACTTACACTTTATAAACTTTTTTTATAATTACAAATTATTATAAATGTGCTTTTATATATATAAACACCCGGTGAACTTTATATTGCGTTATACACTCAATAAAGAATACGTATTTTACTTACATTTTTGGAGTAAGGTAAAAATTATCTTTATCTGTAACCCTTCAAAAATAGAGACATGTGCCTATAAAATGACATATATCTGTTTTACTTATTGTTTTATTTTCTATAAAAAATAATTAAGTACATAAAATCCCTAATATAAATTGGTAAAACAGTTTATGTACAAAATAAATGTCTATTTGATAAGAAAATATATGCAATATGTAGTCAACGCTACCCAGTGACTAGCAAAACCGAGCTGAGCCCATTTATCAATAGTATGACTGTAACTATACCCTGTTTCTTGTAGATCAGATGTATCAAACATGAGACCCAAATAAGCTAAATGAAACATTGACAAAGTCGAGAATGCCATGTTTGTGATAAATACACACAGAGAATTATAAGAGGTATACTTGTGCGTGCATTTATGCGAAGTGCATTGTTTGGACGCGACACAGGCATCGAAAGTGTCTGCTAGCATGGCCCTGAGTTGAAACTCCACATATGTGTAGAAACCTAGACTAAGTAACACTGCTGCTAGTTGAAAGTTTAATCCATGTAGAAGAGCGCTTATCAAATATGTGACGGTCACTGCTCCGAATTTTCCCAATCGTTTAATGCTGGGACGGAAGATATCTATTGAGAGAGTAGTATTTGAAATAAATGTTATATAGTAAATATTCCCTCATAATAAAGCATAATATAAATATTCCACTATATAATAAAGCACTTGTGCATACATGTCTTCAACCAGTAATGCATTGGAATGTTCCAATGAATGACAACTTGGACAAGAGAACGTGGCAATTCGATGTACAATGGTCTAACTGTCGTTGACAATGAAAGAGGAAATCCGGCAAGAATCAACAATGCTGAAGCTACGTACGAAACGAAATAATGGGATGATCTAAAAGACAATGCATCTCTGTATGCTATCAACCATCTGGAACAACAAAATAGTATCTTTACACCGGGCAAAAACAATTAAAGATGTACTATTGCCGTACGATTTAGTTTGACATCGCGTGGCGCCGTAATAAAGGACAGTCATTCGCGAACTAGGACAAAGAGATATTTTGACTCGTGATTTTCATGTTTAGCCCGGATTCTATACCACGAATCTCGCTCGTTATTATATGGCAAAGGGTCAAATGCCTTAACATAGCAAGTACTAACTTCCAGGAGTTATTTACGAATATCCACTGTGTCCAACAGTTTGAAATGCTCAGGAAGACAAATGCAAGGAAGACATATCCTATACCATAGATTATCCACCATTTTGTCTACAATAGAAATTAACTTTTAAATAGTATCGTGATTTCTTTTGTCACTTGATATATACGGTCGTAATATACAGAAAGTATATAGTTAGACTGAATATCTAGATATGCACCTGACTGTTAGAAGTATATAATGAAATATAATCTTTGAATGATATCCATGGTCCAAATAGGCAAGTTACACCACAGAACATGTAACTCGTGTAACTATAAATATCTGGCAAGTTGGTTGAATTACTTGAATCTATGGCAATACTAATTACTTTCATTGCCATTGTCATAATTACACTACGTACCTTATGCCATATTATTGACTGCATTGAAAATTCACTAGAAAGAATATATCAACATGTATTTAACTTGCTAAAATAAGCATAAAATATTGCAAAATACCATTTACTATGGATACATACCAATATGCAATTACTAAAAGGGATGGTAAGAAGATTCCTGCACCACCATGCCATTTTTTCGGGATGTGTAAAATACCATAAGAAAATAGAACAAATATGATCAATACAATTAAGCATTCTTGCATATAATGCTGAATAATATACAAGCCTATGATTACTGATAATGTGTGAAATATCCTATGAGATTTGTACGCTGAAATATAAAACAACAGTCATTTTAATGACATAAATAAAATAATCCAAAGAAGAAAGATATATAATATTTATCATATAAACAGAGAAAAGAAACTTACGAATATGAACAAACAGTCTAAATAATATTGTGCTACCCAACAAAGGTAACATATAACGTCCTGTGTCATACAGAGTAGGACTGAGACAATATTGATATAGTTCAGAGAGATTTTCCTTTTCCGTATCCACATAATCGTAGTCGTATTCAACATTGTGCATACAATCATAATCCAAGCAATCATCCTCGTCATCGTAAAAGACTGTAGCACCTACATCTTCCATCACAACCAGGATAAGAGGTCCAACAACCGATTAGCATAGCACTTTGCAAAATTGATGCTCTGTGTTCTACCTGTTTTAAATAAAAATTATAAAGCATAAAAATGCTACAAATAAAAGACAATATGCACGGTATGACTGATTTTCAAATGCAATTGTTTAAAATAAAATATGTAAATACCGATCAACCGAATCATTTAAGCGTAACAACGCTAAAATGTAGACAAGCACATTTTCGCGTTTTTAAAAATATCTCGTGTATGTTCCATACAATCAAATGACCATTTAATATTGCAAAAATAGTATTTTTTTAACTTTCAAAGTTTTTCTGTTATGAAACGCTTCAAAATATTCAAAAATTTCGCGATGTTGTTTATTATCCACATACACAAGCATATAGCACGCTGCAGTCGCTGCCGGGACGCCATGATATAGCTTATACTCATTGGCGCTATTATTCGTGTTTTTCAAATGAGATCAAAACACACTTAGAGATTTGTGTTATGAATTACTATTTGTTGGAAAATATATTCAGTACATAGATATAAAAATAGCTACACATGACACAATAAAATTATATATTATTTTTATGTAACTAATTTCATAAATAAATTCATATTTTGTTACAGTAGTAAGGTCTAATGATGTTGCTATAATTATATATACAACAGCTTTCGTTTCTAGGCTATACAATTAAAAGATTTTACTTTATAGAAACCGAGAAAAATAGAAGACATATATAGTGAATTATAAACTGTAAAAAAGTATGTTTCGGCAAATTTCCTTCATCCATATCAGATTATCTTATATTATCTATAACATTGTCTTATATATTTCTATAAAATATAGTAATATATTATACATTAGCAATATACATTACTAGTTAATATTAAGCATATCATTTAATATCACTTTATAGTGTAGAATATAGATTAAGTAACATTAATTTCAATGTTTTGTAGAATTCTCTGAAAATATAGACAAACACATAGGGAAGGTAAATATTAAATTAATTCCAAACATTAATTGTACGAGATCAACAGCATCAGCCAGTTGTTTAACTTTTTTCAAAATTAATCCTATGAAAGCAATATATAGTGTGTCGATAAGAAATAAAAATTGCTGTATAATAATTAATTTACATTTTTTATATAATTATAGTGATACACATAATTAACAAGGTAATAGACCCAAAGTTTGCAAACATATTTGTGCAGCTTCTGCTTTTGCTTGTTTCTTGTTAGGACTCGCTACACTTGGCTTGTATTCAATACCATTTACCTTTACCTATAACATATTAAATATATATGTGTATATTTCTTTAAAATTCTTCAAAATTTATGTTTACTTATATATATATATATATATATATCATAATTACTTTGAACAAGAAATTTTTCCTATGATCTGGCCCACACTCGAAGCACAGATCATAAACTGGTGCTCCTAGTTTCTTTTTTGAACAATATTCACCCAATAACGACACTGGATGTTTGCCTACAAAACCAGAAATGATGAAAATGATAACAAATGACACAAATATACTTCTGTAAAAAAAATGAAGAAATAATATAACGTAATATAATCGAGAATTAAGCTATACCTTCCAATGTTTTCACTGTTGATACTACAGGCTTCACTGCTTTGTTACCTTTCTGCCCAATATCTTGTTCAGAAACTAATCCTTTTTTGTCCAACTTAACTTCTAACTGCAGCGGCTCCAAAGCTCCTTCTTTGTTTTTGCCTAAGCCTTCACCTGGCCGCCATCCCATCTTCTGTAGCAACGCCATACCCATTCCACCTGATACAGGCTGTGCTGATAGTAATTGATCCTAAATAGTTTGTTGAATTAAAAAAACACTGTGTTACATTATTATGTGCATACCCAGCATCGAAATGTAGCTTTAAAGCTACATATTCCATTCTTTGAAGTCAATGCATGTATAACTGATATATATATATATAAAGCTTGCACATTAGATATTATATTTTATAGAACTATACTTGTGAGATATTGTGACATATTAGATGTTTTTCTTAAATTTATTTAATAGTAGTCAAAAAGTATTTGCATAAATTTAAAAATATATTTACTATAATTTGTTAATTTGTATATGAATACTTACCCAATGGACAATATAATCTGCATCAGGCTGCTGATGTGGTTTCTTCTCTGATGTAGCTATGTACCTGTAACAAACCCTCAGGTGGATGCAGACTAATGCTAAATATCCCAGCTTTAAGATTAAGAGGCAATGTACCAGCTTCTGATGAAATCCTATAGTAGGAAGCTGATGATAATTAGCAGTAATCTCACAAGAACTTATTATTTCATTCAATTGTATTATAAAAACTTGTTTGTAGTAAAATTTGAAATTATCGCTGATTAAATGTAACTTACAACGTCTGTTATTTATTAAAAAATTATTCTTAGGACAGAATAAACTTTACAAGTTTTGCCAACTTCTGAAAATGATTATGAAAAATCAGAGTATAAAATATCTTGGAATAAATGATAAGTAATGAGGAATATATGAGAAGTGAATTGCTCATTGATACACTTACATGATTTATCACAATTATAGTTTTATAAAATTTTAGTTTAGAATTATATTTCCATAAATTTTGCTATTTGATCTGAAATAATAATGTTCTTGTGTCCGTGCAGGCACAGAATCCACCTCTGCATGAGAAATAGTCTGTGCCTACAACACAGTCTCTACTAAATCAACATTAACTTTAACTTGATCCTAATAGAGACTGTACCTGAAAACTTGTTACAGGCAATATCAGTGTTAATAATATATCACTAAACAATGACAGAACCAGAACCTCATATAATCTGTATTCGATATTTTAATCCAGAATGTTAGCATAATGTGTGCAAGTTATATATATATATATATAAAAAACTCATTAATTATATATATATAACCTGCACACATTATATCAACATTCTGGATTAAATAATGAGTTTATATATATATGTATACATATAAACTCATTATTGTAGAATATACTGGATCTGTTTCATTGTTTAGAAATAGGAAATCATAATGGATACATGGATGAAGATGCATTTACACATCAAAAATATTTTTTTTCTGAAGTTCAGTAATTCTAATTTTGTCTTGCCTGTATATAATCAAATGTTTGATTTGAAAATGCATCATAGGAACAGGAATTTTGGAATAGTGGGTCTAGGAACACGTGTTATATGGAATAAAATGCACAATAATAAATTTTACCTTACGTGCCCAGGCTTGATAACCTGATGACAATTCTGCAGGTGTGAGCACTTTGGCTCCTGTACTACCCGTGAACTGACCTGGCATCTGCTTACTCTCGGCCCAAGTTTTCATCTATATTATCATTAAATAATTTGTATACTTATAAAATAAAATTCCTCTAATATATTATTTTACAAAATTTATATTTTCTTTTCTCTTTTTTTACCTCACTTTGTGCTTGATGCATCGCATTCAAAGCGTTAACATCGTTTGGATTTTCTCTTAATTTTCTCATGGCTGCTAATCTTTGAGATACTATGGAACCTATGTCGACGATCTGGAATCATTGAAATTACTTATGAAATTACAATTCCATTATCAGTTAATTGTAATAGTTTTTTAAATTTCACCTCTGTTGTCGTTGGAAAAATGGTTGTCTGTATCGGTTGCACAGGAGGTTGTACAGGTGATGATTGCATTATTGTTGATGAACTATTTGTTGTAGATGCTGGCACAAATAACTTTTTCGGTTCTGGTTTCTTTGGTATGACTGGCATCCATTCGCTTTCTAAAAATATATATCTTACAGTATTTTTAGATTCTATATAAAAACAAAACTATATCTTACCAGTCTTTCTGTGATGTTGTCCGCTGGAGACAGGAAACTGTAATCGCAGCTGATTTGATGTCTCAGCTGCTTTTTCTTGGAACGTCTTTGTCGGTAGTTGTTTTGCATCCTAAACAGGAAACGGAATTTATTTTATTTTTATAGTAATGATTAAAAATAACATAATATTATAAATGTTGATATAAAAAGAATAGTAAATTCAATACCAACCTTAATATTCATTATAATAGAACTAGGTCTTTCCTTCAGGAGAAAAGGGTGATGAAATCCTTTCTCAAATTCACTTTCCTCTTCAGATGAGATATTAGATAATTCACCTAGTGCTTCAGATTTTGATAATGTTTTACAAAAATCTAGAAAAATATTTAATATATAAATATATATTTTTTATATGGTGTGTGTGTGTGTGTCTGTGTGTATGCATGTGTGTGTGTGTGTGTGTACATACATATCTATGTATATAGCAAGTCAGGGTCTTCACAAGCCCCCATTATTTTTTGGTAATTGTATTATCTATGGTTCGTTGTAATTGATTTAAATTATGTTTTTCGAGTTGTTTAACATATACCTTAATGACTGTTAATGATATTTGCATTGTTAACGATATTATAATAAAATTAATATAAATATGAAAATAAATACCTGTAAGTTCATCCACTGTTTTTCCTCCAGACTGTATAGCAGCAATAGCTTTATCCTGTTGAGCTAATGGCAAAGTTCCTTGCTTTATCATATTTATAGCGTTTCTTCTTGCAATTTCTAAGAGTTTTTTTTTATCAATTTCTATCCGTTCTCTGGTAAAGATGTAATGATTATTATATTAATTATATAAATTATATGAGGTACAAATAATTCTATATCTCAAGAAACTTAATACAATACTAACTTCCTTTCTTTGCTTCGACTCCGACCTCGTGTATATTTATCTTTATTTCTATCTTCACTGCGACTCCTATATCTGCGTCTCTCTCTACTCTTACCCAAATCTCGCTTTTCATTGCTCTTATCTCTATCACGTTTTTCTCTACTTTTGTCTCTCCACTTTTCTCTTCCACGGCTTCTACTGCGATGCGAGCTGTATCGCGTTCGTGATCTTGATCTTTTTCTATCTTGTGAATGGCAGCTTCTGCTCCTTTTATCCTTGTCTTTTGTATCTTTGTGATTGGAATCATCTTTTTGATCATTAACCCCCAATTTCTTCTTTTCCTTCTCTCTCAAAACTAATCTAAGATCAGGTTTCATTGAACTTTTTGTTGGACTATGCATTCTACTTTTTTTCTTATCCCTATTTGGGCTGAAAGATGGTGACCTGAATAAATTATCTCGAGATGGAGTGGGACTTAAAGTAGGCGTCCTGTTATCATTACTACTATCAGACAGTTCACCATCTTCCATTTTAGCTTCTTTTGCTTTTTTCTTATTTTCAATTGCTTTAACAGTTTCGTTGTAAATAGTACTGTTCTTGAGATCCTTTATTAATATTTTTCCTTGAACAGATTGTTTTATCTTTTCTGTATGTACATACAAGAAATTATCTATTAATTCCTATTTGTTTTTACTATAAATTATTTATTTTAAGAAGCAGATATTACGTGATATTGTTAATTATTAACAGACAAATAAGTACAAACCAGTAAGTTTAGGTATTATTGGCTCATCAGACTCATCCTTTTTCTTTGATATAGGTGGTAATGGAGGACTACCAAAATCATTGATATCTGTTTCTACTGTCTCTTTTTTATTTGGATCATCTAATTTTGTTGTATCTTTCATATTATTCTTCTCTGACATGTCAGATATATTTGGATAATCAGTTTTAAGATCGTTACTATCTAATTTCATTATTTTGGCTCTTGAATGATCTGAATCAGATGATTTACTGGAAACAGATTCATGTCTTCGTTTAGATTTCTTCTTATGTTTCTTCTTTTTTTTGTTACCTAATCAAAATGAAAAGTACACAAGAAATAATTAATTATAATGACACAAAATATTAAAAAGTACATGGGACATATAAAATTACCTTCGGCATCGCTATTACTATCTGAGGAGTTGTGCCTTGATTTTTTCTTGTATTTCTTCTCCTTGTGTTTATGTTTTTTCTTACTTTTTTTCTTTTTTGTCTGAAGTTTAGTCGTTTTGGCGGCATTGTCATTTGATATTTGTTGGTCAGTGTTCCCTAAAGATATGACACAATCGTCCGCGTCCGCATCAGCATCCGCATCAAATGTACTGAAAAGCTCTGTTAATATCTCATTTGATGATTTTTCAGGTAATCCGGGCTCCGGCTTGATTTTTACACCATCAACACCGACAGTCGTTATCAAGTGAGCGAGATCAAATAAATTTGTCATCACACTCATATATTTGTATTTCTAATAAAAAAACGAGTATTCCACTTGTTTCAAAAGGCACGCAAGTATCTTGCTTACGTCGTTTGCAACTATATAAATAGTAGATCAAAATCAATTTTAACCTCGCGCAGTCTAGCACTTCAGTTCAGTTCAGTTCGGTATATGGCTTTAGGTAGAAGGGTGTACCCATACGCCATTCTCCAGTCTAGCACTTGATTGCGCCGTTGTCCGATGTTAAGCCAGCGGCACACGGTACTTGTTTTCGTACTGGATTGTTTGCTGGATGAAAATATTGCATTCTGATTGGTGCATTTTCATCCATCCTCGGAAATATACCAATCAGAACGTAGTATTTTCATCCAACAAGCAATCCAGCACGAAAACAAGCACTGTGTGCCGCTAGCTTTACCAACGGAATACTAATAAAGACCATTTAATTATCTCCGAGGTATCTCCGGCCATTTAATTATCCAAGGCTAACAGTCTCTAGGCTGGGTCTATAATGGGTGTAATGAGCTTTTTTTTATAATTATTCTTCTCATAATCGATTGTGGTTGGTCAATTTCTTACGGCTTAAAGCTTACACTGGCTGCGTTCCGAAGTTCACTGCCAGTACTGAAAATACATAGTTCATGTCACGTATACTATAGAATTTCAGTGCTGGCAGTAAATATCGGAACGCAGCCGATATATGTACTTGTCGCTGGACACTGCAATAGAGACTTTAGGTATTTGAATTCATGCGTTCAACAAGCTAACGGTTTCTTTAAATCTCTGCAAGGTGTTAGTCATTTAAATCATTCCTGTCATTTTGTGCTACATGTGCCACGTTTTCAGGGGATCACGAAAAAACTACGCTGTGAATTAAGGACACTGTGGACAATTTGATTAAGAAGGTATTCCTTACAAATCCTATCGTGTATTTAATCGCAACAATTTAATTACATTTACACCTACGTTTATGTTTACATGCTTTATGCTTGTTAAAATTTTGACCTTAGTTCTTTAGCTTATTTTAAGCCAACGACAATTTTTCAAGTGGCTCATCATATAATTAGAGCCAGTCTCTTACCCGCAAAATCATGTCACATCTAAGATTTATGAAAGAATTGAACAATTTGACTCGCATGGACGACCCCATCAAAGGACCACTCCCACGATGGCAAAAAAAATGTTTGGAAAATTCAAATTCAAGGTAATGTAATTTTGAAGTTCTTTGTAATATTAATTGTTATTTTCTTTTGATAATGCAGTATTCAAATATCTTGCAAATTTATCTGATTTTGTAAGAATATTGATGCTCTGTGCTTAACACAGATGTTGTTTCATATATGGTTTTTATTTCAGTCTTAACATGACCATGAATTCCTCCAAAAAAGTTGTAGGCAACTCTTTTTCAAGTAGTATTTCTGGAAAGTCTCCAGTGAAAAAAGTTGATAGCAAAATCAAGAAAACTCCCTCCAAAGGATCTCGCAAGTCTCCAAGTAAGTTTTTATTTTATTAAACTTAGCATTACATGTACTTGATTGTATTTGTATAATTTACATAATTGTTTATTAGCAATCTTAAATGTATTGTGTTACAATAATTATATAAATTTATATCATGTTTAAATTGATTTTAATAATAGATCGTACTTCAGCTAAGACACCTAATGGTGGTGACAGATTTATTCCCTCAAGATCCACAACAAATTTTGATTTAAGCCATTACAAGGTAAATTAGGCATTTAATAATTAAACATTGCAGCATCAATATTTAGTGACTTTATATTAATGTTTATGTTCCTCAATTTCAGATTCTTCAGCAGCAAAATGCAGACCCAGACAAAGATAAGGATGATGACTTAAGTCCTACAAAACGAGAAATGCAGCGTCTCATAGGAGAGAATCTTCATGGTGGTGACATAAAGAACATGAGAGTTTTATCATATCATATTAAAGCTCCAGCAGCTCCAGATGGCTATCAGAATCCTCTTAAAGTTCTGTATAGTCAAACTAAAACACCAGCTAGCGTTAAAGCTTCTACAAGATATATACCACAAGCTCCTGATAGAATATTGGATGCACCTGAAATCATTGATGATTATTGTAATTATTTACACTTTATAATTTCATAGACCCTGTTACTATATATATAAGATATGATAGAATTATTGTATATGACTTTCCAGACTTGAACTTGGTGGATTGGTCAGTCAACAATATTTTGGCTGTCGCCTTAGGTGCTAACGTTTATTTATGGAATGCTGGAACTGGATCCATTCAACAATTATTTGAATTAGAACCAACCGATTACATATGTTCCGTTTCATGGATCCAGGAAGGTCCTCATTTAGCAATAGGTACTACAGTAGGAAACACGGAATTATGGGACTGTAGTGAAATGAAGAGAGTACGTGTAATGAACGGACATACTGCCAGGGTTGGTTCTCTTTGCTGGAATTCACATATATTATCAAGTGGATGCAGGTAATGCAAGATATATATAATTTATAACATAGTCGTTATACTTATTTGAGCTTAAATGCTGGTTGTTTTTGCATTAAAGATTAGGTAAGATAGTACATCACGACGTCAGACAACGAGATCATGTAATCTCTACATTAAATGCACACGCTCAAGAGATATGTGGTTTAAAATGGTCGCCTAATGGACAGTATTTAGCTAGTGGTGGCAACGATAATATGTTATTAATTTGGCCTTCGATGGCAGGCCAAAATCATACTTTGGCTCAGCCCATTTACTCGTTAAATCATCATCAAGCTGCCGTGAAAGCGCTTGCTTGGTGTCCCTGGCAGAATAACATCCTTGCAAGCGGCGGTGGTACTGCTGATCGGACTATTAGATTTTGGAATTGTAACACTGGTAAGTTTATGAGTTTTTTTCATTTGCAATGAATTATTTAATAATAAAAACTCAAGACACAAATATAGAAAGGTGACGTTTGTTAATACAATTCTATTCCATTCCATCATAATTTGATCCTTCATTTTGTTACAGGTGCTTGTTTAAACAGTATAGACACAAGATCACAGGTCTGCTCTTTGCTGTGGTCAACAAATTACAAAGAAATTATTTCTGGACACGGTTATGCGCAAAACCAATTAACAATTTGGAAGTACCCGACGATGACGAAGGTAGCAGATCTCACAGGACACACCAGTCGTGTTTTGCACTTGGCAATGTCACCGGACGGAACTACAGTACTCAGTGCTGGCGCTGATGAAACATTGAGGCTGTGGAAGTGCTTCCAAGTGGACAAAAAAAGTCAACAAAAAAAGAAAGATTACAGCGAGATGAAATCGGTCGCATCTAGACTCAAGCAATCGATTAGATAAAATTGACTTGTCTCACTAAACAATTATTTCAGTATTTATTTTCACTTCATTTATTTGACATATATGTGATCGGCATATGCGTATAATGAACAAGTAACATTGGTATTGCATTAATCTACTAATATGTTCGGGACTGTATACGACACACTTATAATATTTAGAAATTCAGGCGTACTAATATTAAGATATTAATGTTAAGTACACTCGGTAAATAGATTCGATTGTCTAGGCATTACTGGGATTATCATTTTTAGAGTAATAACTATAAATGTAACAATGAAAGAGAATAAACGTTTTTTCTTGTTTTTAGATATGAGATTTTTACTGTTATTTCATGATATTTTTTATTAGTTTTGTATTTTTAATAGAAAATTTACTGGGGATATTCTTAAATGTTTAACATCTATCAATACTTAGCTTTAGGTTCGTATGTTCTTTTCTATTAAGTTCCTTGCTACATCTTTCATACATACTGTAGTGAAAGGTTTTTTCCCCCACTCTCTCCTACACCAAATCTTTATATGCCAGGTGCATTAAGGTACAATCAGGTAGTAGGTTTTGAACCAACCTGAATCTGAACAACTGCACAAACTAGATCATGACTAAATATAAGTGAAATTAATATATTGTATATATATAATACACGTCTAATACTTTAGGATTATATGATCTTTATTTTTATTTATACAATTTGATATTGAGAAACGAAGATTTTTATCACAATAGTTCTAACTGAAACATGGGCGAAATAGACAGCAAAAGTGTACTGTTGAAATCTAGATGCAAATATCCTGATCAACCATATTCTACAAATAGTTGCAATGAAGATGATAATGATCACGATTGGTGGGCAAGCGACAGTGGATCCAGCACAGGATCATATTATTCAGACACCGATAGGTAATTCAAATGTATCCATATGTATTCAGAAAGATATATTCTTTAATAATTTGTTATAATTATAATTACAGTTCCGTGGTTGAATGGGAATCCGAGATCGGGCCTAGCGGAGAAGTATTCTATGTAGAATCAGCGGTGGAGAGTTTGTTCGAAGATTTTACAATTTTTGACAGTAAAAGTGACAATCCTCAACCTGAGTTAACGCGTCGCCGTAGTACAAGAGCTGGTAAGCTGTTTCGACTTATTAGACGTAAGGAAAGCAAACGCTGGAGTACAAGAAATAAAAAGATTAACAGCAGCACAGTGGCATGCAACATTGTTCCTCAGGAGAAAGATGCAACTGGGAGCAAGGAAGTCACGTTTCGTGATTTTCAGGTATTAATCAGAAATCGTGCTGTCAATATTTATTTATTATCACTTCAGTCTATGTATTTACTTACAATGATCAGGCAGGTGAAATTCGTGACGTTACACTGTGGATTGATCCTGAAAGAAGGCACAAGTTGGGAAGAAGAGCGACCTTATGCGAAGCATATTTTGGCATTACACCAGGTATATTTTCAGATAAAGTAAGAGTTATGGTAGCTGGATTTATACCGGACGGTGAAGCCATGAAGAACAAGAATATAAAAATTGGAGACTGGTTGCGAAGCATTAATTCCAATAATGTTACCTCCCAAAATTTAGATCAAATATTGTCTGAAATTACTACACCGTCAAACGTAAGAATTAACAAACTTATCTAGTTATAGATATATAATTAATAATAATAATCAAAATTTTCATATTTATCTTAAAACTCTTCAATGAGAGATTTTATCTTTTTGTTCGAAGGTAACGTTAGAATTGCAAAGAGTGGCTGGTGTGGATGTTACTGCTAAGCTATCTCGAATAAATGAACCAAAAGTAATTATATTCTTATACAAATATGCATATATATATAGATAAGAGATATTGTGCACAAAGCAACGATATATCAGTTGTATATTTCCAGCAATCGACATTAGTCCAATATCTAGTAAATAAAGAAAACAACAATCTCTACATGGAATCCTTATTAAATTATCCACTGGGTGTAATATATTTAAAAACAGCGGATCTTTCGGAAATGGGACAAGAATTGCAGGGTGTATTGTACACATTTCCGCGATCTGAAACTAAAAATGTGTATTCCTCTTTGTGCACAGCAAGAGGAGCTTTTATAACTCTTAATCATTTGTTACCCAGTATAACAGGCCCACAACCTGTCAGGTATACAGATGTATGTTAATATTGTATACGATAAACAATATGCGTCATATAATATATATATTTTCTAGTACAACTGTCTACATAGGTGAAGAAAAAATGCACATTGTATATACATCTCACGATGATGAGTTGCTTTTGATAGCTTTACCTGAGAGATGGTGAGTTTTGTTTAAGTAACATAAATGAAAAAAGATATTGAGATCGCGCTAATGAATATTTGTCATTGTTATAGGTGTACCGTACAGGAAGCTGTAAAAATTACGGAAGATGTAGTCAGAATGTTAGAATTCACTTATCAGTCGCTGACAAAGTGTTTCACTACTTCAGAAAATCAGTCTTCTTTGGATCATTTGTTTATATTGATTATGCACAGATTAATAAATATCAAAGATTCGTCTAACGATATCGAGGCCAAGAAACATATGGTCGAGCCACAAAATACTGTAGAAAATACGGAAAATTACAAATTTAGGAGTGCTTTCTCAGTGGCAAATTTTATACAATTACCTAGAGATGCACAAATTCAAATAGATGCTGCATTGAGTGAAATGGAAGCTATGGATTACAGAGATTGGGTATATTGATATATCTCTCTTTAAACTTACAGTCTGAATAAAAAAAGGAATATACTTGTGTTAAATTGTAAATCGATAATGTTGAAGATTTAATAGATATTCATATTTAATAGAACGAGGATCCGATGGATTGTCAGAGGCTATATACTATATTAGGTAGCTGCGTTTATCATAAGTGTTACCTTTTGGGATCTCATTTACCTCACGAAGACTTAATCGATGTACATTCGTTTCTAAGACACAATGGTCTATTGAATCTGATGAATCAGGAACAGATAAAATGTCTCGTTTTGTGGAAACAAATTTATCCATCATCCTGTAATCGTGGCAACGTCAGTGGTAACGACAATGATCAATTATTAATACCTGATGGGAAATGGTTTTTATTAGTTGTTGCGTATGGACATGATTTGTTAGCAGTTCTGTTGGAGTCTGGAGGATGTACTGCAAAGTAAGTATAGTTATTATTATTTATGTGCACATTACACATGGCTTACAGAAATGATATTTTCTCTTTTTACTGAAATTTTACAATATATTATCAAATATAGATACAACGATGCGATAGGTCCAGATGTATTTTATGTGGAAGAAGCCCAAGAAACATTGAAGCATATACAAAAGATAGGAGTCACAACTTTAGCTTCGAAGTGGATTATGTCTAATACTAGGCCAGAAGTAATACCGTATGAGGAACATATAATGACGAAGTCTTCATCCAGTATAACAGAAAACCTATTTAGTTTAATAAAATCGTCCGATGCACAAACCGCAATATCTAAGCAGAATTTTAATCCTGCTACTAACAAAAAGCCGCAAGAATTGCCTTCTATCTTGAAGAAACGTAGTCCTGAAGAAAGTCCTATGATTTCGGGTTCCGGTAAGTTGAAATTTCAGGACGTAACAAAGAAATTCGGGAATCTCTCGTGTTTATCGTCATATTTTTTCACGATTTAGTATTTATTACTAATAAATTGATCTATACTGTAAAATATATAATAATATCAGCATTTGTCATATGCATTTAGTGTATTCCTTACAAACGTCTGAAGATTCACTCAGCCAAGGAACAGGTGGCATTAGCGAAATGAGTGATGAGGCGATGCCTATACTTGGAAGACGGGCAACTAGAGAAAAAATCAACTCTACATCGAGATACTCCGACGACAGTGACTCAGATATCGATATATACAAGGTAACTGTTGTCAAAAAAAAATTTTATAACACATCGATCAATAAGTCCCGGGACTAACCAACAGATGACGCCTCTAATAACAAATCCATACCATTCTCAGTTAGTACCAATCTTTAGAAGTTACGTGTCAAACTTTCATGACATTCCGTCATTGAGTAGTTTTAGTGACGCTACTTTTGCTATTTTCAAAACAATGGAAAAAACCGAATTTCGTGTGTTAATAAAACATTGCTTTTTAATGGGAAAAAATACCGTTCAAACTCAGCGATGGCTTGAAAAGTGTTATCCGGGCTCTGCTCCGTCGAAAACAACCATTTGTCGGTGGTATGCTGATTTCAAACGCGGTCGTACAGACACAAATGATGCTGAACGCTCTGGTCGTCCAAATGAGGCTGTTACACCAGAAAACATAAAAAAAACCCTCAAAATCGTGATGGAAAATCGCAAAGTAAAGTTGCGTGAGATAGCTGACATCCTGAAGATATCATTTGGTAGTGTTTACACTATTTTACATGAACATTTGGTCATGAGAAAGCTTTTTTCGAAATGGGTGCCGCGTTTGCTCAGAATGGAACAGAAACAACAACGCATCGATGATTCAGAGCGCTGTTTGGCACTGTTTACGCGAAATAAACAAGAGTTTTTGCGTCGGTATGTGACAATGGATGAAACTTGGATCCACCACTATACTCCGGAATCAAATCGGCAGTCAGCTGAGTGGAGAGCATCCGGTGAAAGTCGTCCGAAGCGACTAAAAACTCAACAGTCGGACGGGAAGGTTATGGCCTCCGTATTTTGGGATGCGCATGGTATAATATTCATCGATTACCTTGAAAAGGGAAAAACCATCAATAGCGAATATTACATAGCGTTACTGGAGCGTTTGAAGGCAGAAATTGCAAAAAAACGGCCTCATATGAAGAAAAAAAAAGTTCTCTTTCATTATGACAGTGCACCGTGTCACAAGTCGATGGTAACGATGGCCAAATTGCATGAGTTGAACTTCGAATTGCTTCCGCACCCACCGTATTCTCCAGATTTGGCCCCCAGCAATTATTGGCTGTTCGCAGGCCTCAAAAAGATGCTCCAGAGAAAGAGATTTGGCTCCAATGAAGAAATGATTGCCGAAACTAACGCCTATTTTGAAACCAAAGATAAATCGTTCTACACGGCTGGCATAGAAAAGTTAGGAAAGCGTTGGAATGAATGTATCGCTCTTGAAGGAGACTATGTTGATGAATAAAGAAGAATTTTGGCAAACAAATGTTTTAGTAGTTAGTCCTGGGACTTATTGATCGATGTGTTACGTAACATTGAAAAATTCGTTTGAGTTGGTGTACTAAAATCAAAATTCACAGCACATGTCATAGCATAAATAATATTTATAAATTTTCTTACAGAATGATAGTCACGTGCTCGCATTAGATATATCTAACATACGAGAAAACTTATTAAACCAAGCTGAATATTTAATACCAAAAAAGTTAACTACAGGTGATAAAAATTATCTGTATCATTATGTACATTTAGATATGGTAGAAGGAATTCTATTGTCATCGATACCTATTCAAAATATGTCGAAGGATAATAAGATCCTTGCTAACTTCAACAAATGCGTGCATGCTATCCATAGATTATTACATAATACAGTGAGATTTAAAATGTTGAACCAGGATATGGATAAAACCGTTATCAATAGAAGTTTAATCGCCGTTAAAGAGCATGGTGTACTATTTGAGTGGGAAAATACAGCTTTCTGGGTAATTGGACGGCTTTATACAAGTCCTCATCCAAAGGAATTATACATATGTTATCAAGACTCTGCGCCTCAAAATTTAATTGAAATAGCTTTCCAGTTGCATAAATAACATTTACATTTTATTTTTATTAAAAATATATTTATTTTATGTAACATTGGTAATACTCAACAATCTGTTAATTAACAATAAATATGTGAATAAATTTTACAAAAAAATTAGTTTTTATTTAATGTTATTTACGAACTTTGCATTGTATATTTTATTTGTTTAATGTAGCAATTTGTATATATATATATATATATAATTATGCATTTCTTATATGTATTACATATATAATTTTTCATACATACATATACATATAAGTTGACAACAAAATTATTGTAACCTCGATTATATACTTTTATAATAACAGATATATAAAATACTTGCAAGAAATATAAGTTATTATGATACAATTGTTTTGTGAAAATATAAATGCAACAAGTTACTAAAGAAAGAGAATTATTTAAGAGAAAGTTACTAAAGAAAGGAGAATTTTGTATAATTATTTAGAATATTTAATTTTTAAGTAAAACATTTTGAGAATAAGAAAGCTAATTTGTAATGTTTGTGTTATTGATGATGAAATGAATATTACTTATCGGGCGTTGTTGTACTCTTATCATGATTATACTGGACAACTGGTGGGACCATTACACAAACACATGCACCAGCCATTTTACTACCATAGTGTCCTGCCCAAAATGATTTATCTTTTCCACCATGAATAAAACCGATTTTTCTGACACCAGGTCCATAATCTTTGAATATATGTGAGGCCTGTACAGTAAAATATATCATAATTAATTAAAAAATAATATATAATAAACTTAATTTTCATTACTAAACTATTTATTAAGATAACTCACACAAAACCACTTATTCTGTTTTTCCCCCTCTAAGTCTTCATATATTTCAAACACATCTAGTGGCGAGCATTCAATATTAGTTTCTCTTAATAACTTAAATTGACATTCATAGATTGCTGGACAATCCCACCGACAGCTATACCATTCACTCACCTATAATGCTATATGTTATCATACCTGTAACTATAGTTTCAATGCAACCTTATATAATTTTTATTATACCTTTATAGGTGGTTGCAACACATCTAGTACATATGGAGTTAATCCCTCAGCTATTAGATCTATTTCTTGTATTTTTAAACAAAGATTATAAGATGTCACAAAACAACTTTGTTTCCCTTCAAATACTGGTTCTGTCAATGGTAACTCTGGTACACCTATAGGTGGATTCTCAACTATCCAGTGATCCCCACCTTGTTTGACAATTTGCCAATGAATTCCAATGTTTTTATGTTCTCCGGAATGATTTTTTATCAAATTTCTCTCAAATGGTTTTTTCTTGCATATTAAATAGAATACGCTCCAATGCATATCCTGATGTCGAGGAAGTGACTTGGCCAGTGCCAATTCTGCTTTCTTGCGCCAAACATAACTTTGTATCAGCATTTTCCAGCGTTTGCATACTAATTGACAATTTAACAAGGTTTTGATATTGGCGTTACAGAAGATTTCCATCAATAGTTCAGCAGGAATATATTTGTCACAGAGGACAAGTCCATTATCGCCTTTTTCGTCAAATGTTACACGAGTAGAAGTCATGGTAGTGTTATGAAATTGACCCATTTAATCTGTCAACAAATGGCAGTAACATCATATACAATATCACAATACAATGAAAATTCTCTTGGCTTTATCAGGGAAATCGGACGAAATATTTTTATCGAAAAATTGTGTGAACAATCCATGAGATATGATGTTTTTGCTCATTACACTATAACAAAAATGCTGTGGTAACAACGCAATGTTTTGACGTAACATTAATCTGTATTATAAATTTGAACATTATTATGAATTTTTGGTAAGACTGTTACGCTAGCAAGTAACGTGTCGTAATGTGACAATGTGCCAACTGTCCATCTGACATAACCTAACCTAACTAATATAGATGACGCGAGATAATGTAAATAAAGTATATTAATGCAATGTCACATGTTATATCGTTCATTATATTGTTCAATTTCAATTGATGAATAAAATATGGATGTGAAATGAATACAAATAATAATCTCACAATTTACTACGTTTTTCCTTGGGATCAAAGTTTCTATGCGGTAAAATCACGATACATCTAGTCTCATACGTGTATGAGTCATACACGTATGGTGGAAAAATACGTACATCTGTCATGTGACTGCTTACTAACTGTACAAAAATGTATGGAATTCATCTGTTATTGATATATTAATGTATTTCATATATTTCCGATTTGCCTTTAATTTTTAAATAATAGTGTAAAATCTTTTGAAAAAGAACATGAAAGACACATCACTGTATGTATGTGTGTGTATCAATGTTCATTTTTTTCTTTATACATGTATTTGATATTTTTATTTTTTTAAATAAATTTTAAGCCCGCAGATACAAAAAATGATCACAAATATAAGCAGCAAATCTTTATATGAATATAAAACTAACAAAGAAAAAACAAATAACAATTTCCTTTTTGGAAATAAAATGTAAATCCAAAATTTTTACAAAGTTTACTTTTATATCTCAGATTTTTTTTATATAAAATTTACTCAATCATATCTAATTATATCAAAATCAATAATGCAAAAACAAGGAAAATAAGGATTACATTAATTATAGAGATTATATTTTAAATGCATATTTATTCCCTTTACTGATATATACAATGTTATGTACATAGTATTTAAAGGAAATAAGTACGCGGTTTACGAACACTGAACAGTGGCATTCGATTTCTGTGGTGGATTCTTTTAGGTAGAGGGAACTTAATTTTGGAATCATGGAATTGCTTGATCTGTGGTCTGCGGCAGTTTGCAGCCTTTACAATTTCCACCTTAATAATCTGTATAGAATGTGCTCTTGCACGATGACGTGCACCCATGTCTCTATAACATTGAGTTATAGCTCCACTGACAGAGAGATCTCTATATTCTCTGTACATATTGTGTGTACCAGAACGAGAGTCATATCTCAACCAGATTCCAAAATTCTTGATTTTAACAGATGTTTTTTCCGGTATCTAAAATATTTATTCTTTAAGTTATATTTAAAATATTTATTCTTTATGTTATATTTTAGTTTATAATTAAAATAATTGAAGACATACAGTATTCTTTAGCAACACAATAAAAGCAATCCATTAACAATTGTAATAATATTCTGTTAAAACACCTGCATAACATACCTGCTTAAGAGATACAATCTCTCCGGTAGACTTCTTAAACTTCTTCAATTGACGCAAGAAGTACCAAAATCTGGATTTCGCAACAATAGCATCAGGGGCGAATATTCTCATTTTGTACAGTGGCGTAGTTTTTTCTTTTTCCGTAGGGAGCTTACGCCCTATTACCTCGAATTCTTTTAACTACAAATAAGAGAATGATTATTTTAAGATATTCATTTTAAAGTAATCGGATAATTATGTGAAAGCACATGTTGGTGGAACACATAATAGGTTAAGCGGTGTCAAATATAAATTAAAACTCTGTTTAATGATTTCATCATTAAATTTTGAGTAGACATCTGTCGCATAAACTCAGAGGAGGTTTTCGATGTTCGTCTTATTTGTTATTCCTAAGGAATTTACAAAAATTACTTACTTCACCCTTAGCTTTCATCGTGCCGAGTAGTTGATACTTGGACAGTACCAAAGAGGAACTTGAAAGCGGCCAACACGGCGTTTTCGGCGACACCGATTATCAGCACTAAGAAAGGGCGCCATCTGCATCCATTTTGAGAGAGGAACTACGATACTAACCCACTTTCAGGTTTCGGCGGTAAAATCAGCATGTAGTGGCAGCCCGTGCTACATCCATTTTTTTCTTACTGGGAACTGAGAGTCCAGCTTTATGGTGAGAATAGGATTGATATAGGACAATATTGTGGCGAAAGAGCGTTCCTGTATCTTGAGTTTGGGAGACAAAGGACCGTTCCTGTATCCCCAGACAGCATACGGATGTCCATTGGACGTCCGTTATATGTCCATTTTTTTTACAAAAGACGTCCATAGGATATACGTTTGTCACAACTTCGGACATAGGACGTTCAATGGACGTACGGTCATGGACATAAAAGTTGTCACTTTTTTTTTAATGACTTTCGGGACATATCCCGACTTGAGAAAGATGAAAGCTGCTGCTCCGCCTGTGGAGCACGCCTACGCAGTAACTCACAACGAAAGGCGAGAAATGAAATATACGTGGTATGACATAAGTATGTCAACAATCATTGCGTTAAGCGGAGAAAACCGCTCAGTGAGCGATTAGTGACTAAATAAATACGATTTCACTTAAAATTTAATATTGACTACGTTTATACGACTTCTAACTTCGACTTAATAACGCTAATGTTATAACTCCTACTTAAAGCGAGTTGCGTTTACACATTTACGCTTATCTATTTGAAATAACTTAATAACTTTCGAGTGAGTCAAGGATTTCCATTACTACCAATATAAAAGGCCGAAAAATGAAATGATTGTGATTGTAGTCTGAATATAAAAGTATTAGAATATGAAAAGAATAGTATGTAAATAAATCAACAAATAAAGTGAACTTTTAGGTTATATTATGAATTTGAAAATTATAAAATATGTATATATCTATATAGTGAAATTTATATAATAAAATATATTTAACTAAAAATGAAATTAAAATTTTAGGTTATCAATTTTGGAAAAAATTAATCATGGAAAATATAGAAAGTGTACGCTCGTTTGTTGCTATATATTTGAAAATAGTAGAAAATATGACGATGCAATATATACTATATGTACGAAATATTTTGATTAAACGGCGAAAGCGTCAGAAAGAAATTATATTACATTTGTTGAATTGAACACCACCAAATCATTTGCTTGATCTCGGACCCGTATTATAATTTTCACGACATAAATCAATTTTACAATCAAGTTAAGATGTTCAATTTTTATATTGGTATTATTGTCATATTTACACTGCGTCCGTTTACACGTCTTCCTTCGACGTTTCTACATCGACGTCTACACGTCGATGTAGAAACTCTTAAGCCAGCGGCACACGGTGCTTGTTTTCGTGCTGGATTGCTTGCTGAATGAAAATACTGCGTTCTGATTGGTGCATTTCCATCCATCTTCGGAAATGCACCAATCAGAACGCAATATTTTCATCCAGCAAGCAATCCAGCACGAAAACAAGCACCGCGTGCCGTTGGCTTACGCCTCTTCACCAAATGACTTTGAGTTACTATCAATCAATGTAATAACTTCGTCGTAAAGGAGTGTTTACACGGCATCTAACGTCAGTAGTTATAACATCGATGTTTATAACTTTGGCGTAAATTGGGCTGTGTAAACATAGTCACTATGAGACAACAAGGGAGTAGGATTAGGCATGGGAGTAGGAGCAGCCATGAAATATAATAGTTGTAGATGGGAGTGTGTACTCTCCAGATCCAGATCTCACTCGCTCCACTCTCGTTATCATAAGCACCCATTAACTCCAATAACGAGTTACAGAATCCAGCCGCAGGTTTCTCCTTGACAGTACACAGGTAAGGCCGGTTGCATACAGGGCGCGACAGTTTTCCGCGCGGCTAGAGAATACTGCGGCAGCCATTCACATCTTGCTTATCCGGAAATAGTATTTACGAAACATGTGGCATGTGAGACACTGATTGGTTACTGCGATATTCCCTAACTAACTTCCGCCGCGCAGCAACAATTACCGCGTCTGGTGTGCAACCGACTTTAGACTGTTACGTTGCTATACGGATTTTGAACTGAAATTCGAACTACAAGTATTACTTTGTGTATTATACAAATTACTTTTCAAAATTAATATTTCCTTTGAAATAAAGTTTAACCAAATGATTTAAATGTATATCGGAATGGATGTATATAAAAAAATATGAAACTATACATTACAAAAAAATTATATCGAGGATTTTTATTTTCTTTGATGTTATGTACAATGTTACGTAGATAGTATTTAAAGGAAGTAGGTACGCGGCTTACGAACACTGAATAATGGCATTCGATTTCTGTGATGGATCCTCTTAGGTAGAGGGAACTTAATTTTAGAGTCGTGGAATTGCTTGATCTGTGGCCTGCGGCAGTTTGCAGCCTTTACAACTTCCACTTTAATAATCTGTATAGAATGTGCTCTTGCACGATGACGTGCACCCATATCTCTATAGCATTGGGTGATGGCTCCGCTGACAGAGAGATCTCTATATTCTCTGTACATATTGTGTGTGCCAGAACGAGAGTCATATCTCAACCAGATGCCAAAGTTCTTGATCTTAATGGGTATTTTCTCTGGAATCTAAAATATTTATTCCATATGTTGTCTTCTTTGTTATAGTTAGTGAGAAAATTAATCTATTATTGGATAATATTGTTTAATATAATTCCATTGTAAGTACCTGTTTAAGAGATACAATTTCTCCGGTAGACTTCTTAAACTTCTTCAATTGACGCAAGAAATACCAAAATCTGGATTTGGCAACTATAGCATCAGGAGCGAATATTCTCATTTTATACAAAGGTGTAGTTTTCTCCTTTTCCGTAGGGAGCTTACGCCCTATCACTTCAAATTCCTTCAACTGAAAATAAGAAAACAGAAATATTATTTCCAGATTTTCATTTTAAATTAATTGAAGAATTATGTGGCATGTGTGATATTTTTTCTCTTTTGATATAGTGATCAATATAGATCACCGTGTTTTCAGGTATGTGTGACATGCACGACATAGGTTATGGACATAGGGGATGTTGTGCCAAGTATTATAGTATGAAACTTGTGCTTTCATATAAATTCTGTGCAAATGCCTAACACGTCAAAAGAGAGGGAATAGTTTTTGACATTATTTTTTATTCTAATCTCTAGAAAATAAGCAAAAATTACTTACTTCACCCTTAGCCTTCATCGTGCCGGATATTTCGCACAACGATGAACAGGAAGAGAATTTCCGTCATCGTGCACGGAAGTGAGGCCATTAAATTTTTTAGCGCTTAATTTAAAATGTGAATGACACTGTGTCTTTGCAAAATGTCCTTGCATATAAGAAAATGTTTACACAGCAATATAATTTTAAAAGAATTAAAATATACTAACATATTAATTTTGATCTGTTTTAATATAAGGTGTGAGAAAATAAATGTTAATGCAATTTTTTTTTTATTAAAGCCTAGTTTTAGATACAAACTACTCGATATAAAAATACTAAAATATTAAAAATACTCAATAGCTCAAATTCTATTCAAATAAAAATAATCAATATATATTCTTAGTTGACATTTTTCAACCTATTATTTATAAAAATTAACTAAAACAATTTCTTAAATTTATTTTTCTATATTTCTTTATCATGTTATCTTTACAACACAATTTCAATAGTTAACACCGATTTTTCATAAAAATCATTTTTGCTACAAGAATTGGTTTATCTCCAGTAAATGTGCATTCGTAAAACTGTAGCAAAAAACATGAATCAAATCAGTTGTACTATATTGTCTCTATGCAAATTGAAAAATAACAAACCTTATTACAAGTCATATCAATATCTCCTCGCTATGTATAAGATATAAGATAAGGAAAACATCATTATAAAGACATTTTGCGACCTTCTATGGATATATGCACCGCTCTTCTGGCCGATTTCATTCGTTTGCTGTCCATATAGTTTTTCATGTGTCGTTCGAATCGGCTCATCGGTTTCTTGGCGCTCTTCAAGAAAAATAATAAAGTAGATTACAAACCGCAAATCATGAAAAATATGATAAAAGTTTTTAAATGAAGCATGATCACATACCCTAGTAATATCAACGTCTGTTTTCCAGTCAGGTCGTATTACATAATCTCTGTCAGATGGCCTAGGAACTCTAGCTCTTCCCACCCATCCAGGATCTCCTGGTCTTAGTGGTCTATAAATAAGAGTAATTTATATAATAGTGACAATAATTAGAATCGTGTTATTGTATTATTGTTGATTATCGACGACGTACTTAGCATCTCCCTTCAAGGCCTTATTGATATCTTGCGATTTTTGGGAAGACCCTGCGTCATCGGCCTTTCTTTTCTTCTGAGGTCTTTGTTCTAAATCCCTCTGTAATCTCTCTTCTTTAGACAACGTTTTAAAATCGGTGGATAAATTAAAAATAGGCCGAGCCCATTCACTGATCAATTTGCCAGCACGCTCTTTGTTTTCTTTTGTTTCCTTTGGATGCTTATAGAGATACATCACAGCCTTCCCGATACCAGACTGCTTCAGTGACGCTTGATCGATTTTTGGGAACTATAACAGACAGATAAAATACGGCGTTATTAAAGTTATTTTCATCAAATGTATGCAAGATTTGACGAAGATTTAATCTAACCTCCCATAAGAGTTTTAGAAGACTGTCTCTAATCTTGAGAGACGGTAACGACCGATCAGGCATCGGTGCCAACCAATCTGTAAGAACGGACAGTACATTGTGTTCTAGGAAGGCCAATTGCAAATCATGCTTTTTCAATTGCGACAATACTTTCGGCAACATGGCGATTTTATTTGTGGCCGGTTTATTTTGCTGGTTCAATTTTCTATCTTCATCGGCCGCAGCTCTCATATCTGATAACAGTTGTGCTATAATGTCGTCGTTATCGTTAATGATATCGATGTCCTTGCGTTTACGTCTACGAGATTGTTCTTCTTTTTTCCGCGCTAACATACGATCGAAATCAGATAGCGAATCATCCCTGAAACAATTGTATCAGTAATAATTCCGTATAATTCGATCAATAATTCTTTTTTCTAATTTCAATAATAGTGAATTTTTTCGTTATATTTTATTTCGTTTTTTCATTATGTATAATCATGTTATTTGCTTGATAAATTATTATGAAATATTGATTAACACTTATTAAGTCCATTAGGAACAAATATTTTTATTAAGTATATTGAATGTTGGTTGCTCTTGCGTGTACTTTGTAAAATACATCTACCTTTCCTTGTATATATATATATATATATGGATTTTTTACTTACAAATATCTGCTACTCCTGGATAGCATATATTAATAATGCATTATTTTATATGCGTATATATCTTGCGCGTGAAATATTATAAAAATACATATTTCGTAAAGAAATAAAGTCTATTTAGCTTCTCAAAAGCTATTTGTTGTCGCAATAACACGTAAATATGTCGTAATATGTCATAATAAAGATTTTTCAGAAATTTAATTTCGTGTAATTATAATAAATTGAGTATATACTTACATTCCGCCATCAGCAATAATGCCATCATCAGAATCTACATTATCATTCTGGTCATTGATTCCAGCTTCATCATCTAATTGTTTGTGTTCCTTGTCTTCACCCTCTCCTTCGTGATGTGCGTCATCGTCTTTTTTCTTCCCGTCTTCGTCTTCCTGATCCTCGCGTTCCGAATCTGATAATCCATGCCTTGACCGTTTCTTCGCTTTATTTCCTTCATCATCTTCAGAATCTGATAGTACTCTATTTCGTTTCCTGACAGCACCTTCCGAATCTCTGCTGGGACTTCTAGATTTTCTGGATCTGGAGCCTGATCTAGATCTCGATTTAGATCGCGACTTTGAACGCGACGAGTGTCTAGATCCGACTGCTGAACCTGATCTTGACCTTGAGCGCGATCTGGAGCGTGATTTTGATTTCGACCTCGATCTTGACTTCGATCGCGACTTTGACCTTGACTTCGATCTAGATCCTGACCTCGATCTCGAACGTGAACCTGAACGCGAACCTGAACGTGATCTTGAGCCAGACTTTGATCTTGAACGAGATCGTGATCTTGATTTCGATCTCGATACAGATTTCCTAGACCCAGAACGAGATCTTGAACGAGATGCTCTTGAACCGGAACGAGATCTCGATTTAGATTTACTGGAATGCGAGCTAGAACGGGATCTAGAACGTGAATTCCTTCCCGAGCGCGCTGGAGATACAGAACCTTTACGTGATCCTGATACGGATCTCGACTTGGACCTTGACCCAGATTTGTGCGATCTGGATCGCGATCTCGAGCTTTTTCTCGAACCCGATACCGATCTAGATTTTGATCTGGACTTCGAACGTGATAAAGCTCTTCCTTCCGCCGAGGGCGATCTTGATTGTTTTCTAGATCCGGAACCAGATCTTGATCTAGACCTTGACTTAGATTTTCTTCCTACTGAATTGGAACGAGATCTAGAACGAGAACTCTTCCTTGATTCGGGAGAACCTTTCGCAGAACGTGATTTGGATCTTGAGCGTGATTTTGATCTCGAACGTGATTGCCTGGCGGTAGCTGGAGATCGATTTGGCGATGCGGGAGGTGAGGGAGAACCTCTTTTTGATCCAGATGGTGATCTTGATCTTGATTTTGAGCCACTTTTGATTCTCGGGCTAGATCTGGCCGATCCCGATCTAGATCTGGATCTGGATCTGTGAGAAGATTTGGGAGTACCAGGCGGAGAAGGAGAGCGAATAGTTTCTTTCGGGGAACCAGACCGAGATCGGGAACGTGACCTCGAACGAGATTGTGATTTGGAAGCTGCCTGAGGTGAAGGAGACCTTGAGGATGATCGAAAATTTGTTTTTGGTGAAATATCTCTAGGTGAAGAGTTATCAAGTTTTACCGAATTTGATCTAGATCGAGAACGTGAGTTATTTCTTGATGCTGCGTGAGAGCTTTTTCTTGATCCAGATCGAGAAGAGCTTCTAGATCTTGAGCCTGATTTTATTGAGCGATGGGAATGCGGCGATTGTGAGCTATTTCTCACATCTTTCTCCGTAAGTCCTGGAGAACGAGATTTCGAACGTGATCTTGATGTGCTTCTTCTGTAGCCAGATTTAGAGCTTGATCTAGATCGTCCCCGTTTTCCATTTGATGGTGAAACAGATCTACTTGGTGATGGTGATCTCGATGGTGTTCTAGAGTAAGATTTTTTGGAGCTAACATTGGAATGAACAGAAGCTGGTGATCCATTCCGTACTGGAGATGATAGATTAGATCTGAAAATTTAATCTAAGTTATAAAAAAACATACAAGTAATTAAGTTGATGATAAAGATAAATTTATTACCTGACTGGTGAAGATTTAGGACTGGCAGAATTTGATTTTGATCTTGATCTGCTCCTTGCTACACTAGCTGATCTTTGTGAGTCAGGACTGACACTCCTAGACTTATCACCTTCTTCTTCCGAGTCACTTCTTACGTCTTAAAATAAACATTTCGTGTGAAAAATATCAAGCTTCTTTACCCAAACTTTTGGCAAGAAGACAAATTGTGAAACACCTGGTTATATTGTTTTTCTATATATTCAACTGTCTTTAAAGTGAGTTATAAATAGGTGTATTAATATTAAGCACAGAGTATCATATTTAATTGCTGGAAGCACAATGTGCTTCCAGCAATTAAATATGATACTTAACAAGTAATATAGATAATACTGATCGACAGAAATTGAAAATTTCAATTGAGATAAACAATAACAGAGATGTGTAATTTTTTACTCACCTCCCAAACTCATGGCATCTATATATAAATATAACCAAAAGCTGAGCAGTTAACACGATTGTGAGCAAAAATATTACATTAATCAGTTATGGTGCTACCATACATACGAACGTTCTTCTGTCTTTGATGATTACTTAAAGCTATTAAACTTGCACAAGCGGTATATTCCTACATTAACGTAACATACAAGATGACAAAAACTCACAACACACACTATCAGACACTACTCAATACACCCTACAAAGTGGCAAAGGCACCGAGAATACCGAAATCACTAAAAGATATATGCTATTTTGCAATTAGTCAATTCGTTCAAGGCCAATGCTTTATTCGTCGTTGGACGAGCTCATCCATTGGATGCGGGATAGAAAATTACTAAAACACCAGCATCTTCATTCGAGGATATCGAGAACCCTCTATACGTCACAACCTCGATAGACCAATCAGGTTGGAGCCGGAGATCATTGCTGCTATCACAGATGTCTCCGCAGACGTTATAATCCGAGGATAAGTGCATCATCTAGTAGTTACTTTGTAACACAGCATTGGCGGAGAGCGCCGATCGCGGCCGAGTCGGGTACAGGGCACACTATGGCGGCCGTGGCAAAATTTTCGCCGTCTGCGTGAGAGCGATTTATGCGTTGTCGGTACGGAGCGCGAGTCACGGTGTCGGTGATCGGCGCGCGGCCGCCAACGCGTAAGCCGGGTCCTTCGGGCGAGCAATCGTGCGACACAGCTCGTACACGTCCCGCGACAACCCGTCGGAGCGGCCCGATGCGGGTCGCGCGCGCTCGTCGTAGGGCAAATGATGACTTCGATGCTGCCCAGCTTTAACCCGCCTATCGTCAAGCGGCTGCTGGGCTGGAAGAAGGCCGAGAGCGAGGACAAATGGAGCGAGAAGGCCGTTAAGAGCCTGGTGAAGAAGCTGAAGAAGTCCGCGGGCCTCGAGGAGCTCGAAAAGGCCATCACGACGCAGAGTTGCAACACCAAGTGCATCACTATACCAAGGTAAGCGACATACGCGTTCGAACATGTTAAGTTCCTCCCGGTGCGTAAGCGCGCGCGCGCGCGCGCGCGCAAGCGAGCGAGCGAGCGAGCGAGCGAGCGAGTGAGCGAATGACGATAATGTTACGTGACATTGTATGCACATAGTAGAGAGTCAGAGAAAAAGAGAGAGAGAGAGAGAGAGAGAGAGAGAGAAAGAAAAATTCGTTGCATTGTGCGTAAAAAATACGCGAGAATTAAGGATGAGAGAATGAGTGAGGTGGATAGAAAGAGAGAGAGAGAGAGAGAGAAAGAGAGAGATAGGATGAGAAAGATGAGAGAGTGAGAGAGAGACGAGAGAAGAAGCGAGAAAGACAACGAAGGGGAGAAAGCGCGCGCGCGCGCGCGTCGCCGACGATATACGTATGTGCGTTGCGCCGCCGTGTGTTTACGACAGTCGCGCGCGCGAGTATGCGTCTGTCTGTGATGCCGGCACAGCGTTCCTCTTTTCCTCGTGTTACGTCGAGCACACGAGACGGCGAGACGTCGTACGGAGAGAGATCGAGTCGTAGATCGCCGATGTTGCGTCGCGCGCGCGTGCGTGCGTGCGTCTATGCATGTGCGTGCGTGCGTGTGGATTCACATGCGCGCACGTCTATTAGGATGATAAGCGACGACGACGACGGCGGCGGCGGCGGCGGCGGCAGACCGCCCGCTTCGCACGCACGCACGTCGCGCTGTCACTCGCTCCCGATGCGGGCTGACGCGGACGTAGCGCGTGACACGCACCGTGAAGAGCGCGCGGCGCGTCTCTTTGTTGTGTGTACGCGGGCACGCGGCGTCGCGCGCGGCCGCGAGTGCGGAAACGCTACGCCGACGGTCACCTTTGGCGACTGCCGACTCCGCCGCCGCCGCCGTCGTCGTCGTCGTCGTCGTCGTCGTCGCAATATCGCACGCACAGGTAAACAAACAGCATCGCGCGAGGCCTCACATGTGTGTAGGACGAGGCACGTGGTCGGAGTCGGCAGGAGCGCCGCAGACTCACGGGAGCGATTTATCGATCGAAAGCGCGTTTGGAAAACGCGGAAAAGAGAGGGAGAGAGAAAAAATTATGGACGGGTATTTTGAAACTTGGCAAAAGTTCCCGCGGTCGCGAGTCGTTTAATTAACCCCTGGCTTATTGTCGCGTTTCCTGGGAAAAACAGTATAATTCCGGCCGATCGGAAACCTTTTCCTCTCACGATTCATCACGGCTGCGGTAAATGGCATTATCTGCGATCTTAGAATGGAGCGGGCGTACACATTTGACGCTTGATGGAAAAGAAGATAATAAAAAGATCGCGAGAGATCGATGAGAGAGCGCGGTTGCAAGGAGCGGAGCTCCGGGTTGAGGTCGCGAGGAGAAACGGAATCGAGATGTGAATTCAGCGGATTTGCTTTTTCGTATCACCGCTTTCCGCGTGTAGAATACATGCGTCGCCGTTGCGTATACGCACGTTCGCCTCGTCGTGCACGAGGATGCACCGTTCTCTCTTTCTCTCCCCTCGATACGATCGATACGGAATCGTCTGGCTGACCGTCGCGATCGCGACGCGAAAGAGAGAGAATGCGCGATGACGCAAACGCGATCTCTCCTTAGCTCGCTCGCTCGAGCTCTCGAAGGTACTCCAAAAGCGACCGCCGCCGCTGCGTCGCGTGGGCGGAAGAGCATTTATCAATCGCTCGCAAAGTGCGCGTAATCGCGCGCGTACGAGAGAAATGCGAAGTACGTAGCTCGTAGCTAGCGTCTTCGCGGCCTTCCAGACCGTTCCCGACGTGGCAGAAACGCGCGATGCTTGCGCGGATAACCCTCGACCCGAGACCGACACATTCGCGCGGACGCGGATGCGGACTTTGGCGATTTCTCCGATCGCTGCTCCAGCCGAACGAAACGGACCGTGTCTCGCCGCGTAGTTGTCTACGTCTGTTCTCTTCCACCGGGATTAGTTTGCATTTTTAGCTTTTCAAGTGAAAAAGCATCATATTGCCTAACGTTGAAGAGAGAAGCAATGAAGGTCAAGTGCTGCAGTGATTCAGCTGAAAAAGGCGGACCTGATTCTGTAGCATCGACGACGACGGTCGCGCCGCGATCGGGTTTGAAGGACGGATCGGGTGAAACCGCGCGTCGTGTCTCGCGGTCGGACATCGAATATCCGAGAACGGCTAACTTTTCCGATCAGCTGTCGACGGCTATGATCTCTGTGAACGGTAACTTCTCATCGACGATAACCCCGCGGTAATCCTTTGTCGCGTAACGAAGCGGCAAGCGCGATGAAGAAAACGCGCGCGCGTTCTATTTCGAGCCGGTCGCGAGCGACGTATCCGCGACTGAAAGTCGCAGGTTCGCCGACGTTTCCTCATTGACGGGAACAACGTCTCCGAGCCGCTGCTTATCGCTGAATCTCGAGCGACCGTTTTCACCCGAGTCAAGATGCGCTCAAGAGTTTTCCTCCTGACAGGTTCGCGCGCGCGCGCGATCACACGCGGCCGGGCCTGCGTAAATAAATTTCAACCCCGATACGGAGCGCGCGCTATACGGTATCACTCGCGTACATACGGTGGTGTGTAAGCGCAGTGACGCGTACTTCTCCTCCACGGGAACACGCGCAGCCGCGAGGGATAACGAAAGTAAGTGTTACATTGTTCGAAACGACGGAGCGTGTAAACGATCCTCCTCGCTCCGCGCGCGCCTTCCCGACTGGAACCCGACGTTCACGTCGGAACAAGCGGCAATTAACTCGCGCAGCCGTCCTTTTAAATCCGCGAGTGCGACGCGCGTGCATGTGCGTGTGCGTGTTTCGTGGATCCTCTTCTTCTTTCTTTCCGCTTCTCCCGCGGAAACGAATCACGGTTGCCGCACGTTCCCTCGGTGAACACGCATTGTCTTGAAAAAAAAAATATATATATATATATATATATTGGAAGAGCGGTACAATTACTGTTATTGTGTCATTACTACTGTTAATGATGTCCTGAAAGGATATAATAACGGAAACCGAATATCGAGACAATTTCCCGAAATACGATTATGCGTGATTTATAAAATAATTATCTTATAATTTTACCAATAATCTCGAGAGTAATCTTTTCATTTGATGGAAATATATTTCATTTGGTAGAATTGTGTCTCACTGTACAGCCGGGTACATTATTATTTAACTTACACACACATACAGCGGAGTGTATTCAAATGGTAGATATTAACACACACCTGTGTGTACTGTTATCGAGTTAATAGTTTCTCCTCGGAACAATTGTATCTCGGGACATTATCTCGGGATTAATTCAGATTTTGGCGCATATTGTGACTTCTCAGGAAATACCCCGGGAAGTTTCTCCCCGGATTTCGAGATCTATCGGACTTATCGAGACAATGCGTGTCCGCTGCATGTTCTGTCTCGCGATGAACATTTTGTCACGGACGAAACGGCAATTAAGAACTCCCGACTGATGAAATCCTCGCAAAAGTGGAGCGCGAACTTCTCAGAAATGGATCACGGCTCGTGCGCGACGCGCAGTTTTTTGTATCGCGATTTCGAACTCTTTCCGTTGGAGCGAGTCGTGAAACCGCCGTTAACAGAGGACAGTTATATGGAAATTCAATCTGTGCGAAACGGTAATTCCGGAATAGAAGCTGTGTAAAATTACCTTGTAGCTTCCGATTGATCGCCGGTGGAGAGAAGAGAGAGATGAAATTGTCACGGCTAACTCGGTTATCGACGCGATCTCGATTAACTCGACTTCGTTTTCTTACTTTTCCCCCTCCTCTCCCGCCTTTTTCTTCTTTTCGCATCCGTGTGTAGCGATGCGGAAAAAGACGAAGCGATAATGACACCGATAGCAATGAGATGCGCGATCGTGATTTCTTATCTTTCGCACGCTTGTGCCCCGCCGTTGCGATCGAGAGATCGTTATTTTCTGTAGATTTCCCATCCGCAAATCCCCGCTCTGAATCACATAATAACGGGGATGATTGGGCTTCTTACGCGCAAAATGTGCGCCGCTATTCCGAATCCTGCTAATAAGCTCCGTAATAATATTTCGCAATTAAATGCAAATCTACCGTTGATCCGCGTGCGCAGCAATAATAACAATAATAATAATAATAATAATAATAACGATGATAATAATAATAATGCAATATGCAGTCGGTAATCGACTCCGGTAACACGGTAATGCGTAATTAGCATCATATCGCGCACTATTTAATTACTAATTGTACTTGGCGTCATTATTAATTCCATGAAATATTCACGGCGTCCGAGAATTTAACGATGCGTCCGCGCAATAATTACAAAATAACGAATAATCATGAATGTATCGCTGTAACTTGTTTCCCGCCGTTCGTCGGAACGGCGAAATGCAACGCAACGTAATTTCCATTAGGTGCCGCATACATAGCGCGCGCGGACCTGTCGCGATAAAATTCCCTTTATCAGGCGCGATTTAGCTCTGTCGAGGAATTGATTGCACCACGTCGCGTATCGAACGAAACCGCGACGTAGTGTCCGCGCTGTTGCGCGACTTAATCGGGGGATTCGAGTTTTTTTTTTTTTTTTTCTCGTAATCCTCGATACTCCCCCGGGGAGCTTTCCCATGAATCACGATATGATTATATCCTCCCCTCCTGCCGATGCCGCGTACAAGTGAAATTCGTTCCCGCACGTTATTCCCTAATTATCCGCCCCGCGCACATTTGTATCGTTGTAACTACGTCTTTTGGTAAACGTCGGGTAATTAACTGCCAGTTAAACGTTTATGCGCAACTGCTGCCGCTGCTGCTTAGATTATCTCGCATCTCTCCGCTCTCATTACAATTCCAGACCTCGCTCCGACGTCGCGAGTACACCCTCGTCGTCTCTCGCAGATAACGCCGCCGAATTCGACATTTGTTTAATTACGGAGGCTGCTGACTCCGTCGATTATCCGTCTCCCGCTCCCTACGAGAAAATAACGAAGAAGAAGTGTCACGCGGGGTAACCCGA